CTCTAGCGCTCTGCCCCTTCCCCAGACGGGCCTCCTTGCTACCTTTGGGCCCTACAGAGGACACTGCTGCCCCAAGGGCTTGGCTTCTCTGCCTGGAGACCTCCTTGCCCAGGGTTGGCATGCATACCCGCTCCCTCGTTCAAGTGTCTGCTCAAAAGTCCTCCACCAACGCAGGACTTCCTGACGACAAGCTCTAGAAGGATGCCTCCCTCCCATCCCTTCTCACCTTCCACTCAGCGGCCATTTGCTCTGTCATTGACCACTCGACGTTACACATTCCACATTCATGACACAAAGGTCTTTCCTCAAAGGGACAAGAATGCTGGGGCACGTTCTGTTTGCTGCTGAGTTATCGCACCCCGGGCGCGGGCATGGGGTGGCCGCTTAGACGGGCACCAACCCCATGGCTGCCCTTTGTTTGAATGCCGCTTCTCCCTCCCGTCTTCTGTCCTGCCTCCCCCCCCGCCCCCCCAGACCACTAGGACACTGGTCCCTGCTCATGCTCTGCTCACAACGGGAACTTGTGACACTCAGCAGACATGGCGCGTGAGTCCCCTCTCCACCAGAAAGACCACAACACCCGCGGGGGAACCCCTGGTAGGTACGTAGGACAGGCTTCGGCAGAGCCCGGACAGCACTTGGGAGGAAAGCATTTTCAAAGAAACAGCATCTGGCTTTAAAATAACCCTACTCTGAATGATCAGAAAAGAACATGTAGGTCACACCACAGTAACATCTTTGCAAGTCAAGAAAGCTTGTGTAGGGGCGCCTGGATGGCTCAGTGGGTTAAAGCCTCTGCCTTCAGCTCAGGTCGTGATCCCAGGGTCCTGGGATCGAGCCCTGCATCAGGCTCTTTGCTCAGCAGGGAGCCGGCTTCCCCCTCTCTCTCTGCCTGCCTCTCTGTGTACTTGTGATCTCTGTCTGTCAAATAAATAAATAAAATCTTAAAAAAAAAAAAAAAAAGATTGTGTAGGTCCCTTTCAAAGGAGGACAACAAACGCACATCCAGAGCCTTCTGATGCACTGGTTGTACCTTTATTATGTCTACCTCGTTCACTAAGAGTTCCGTGATGCAAGGTTACCATACACAGTTAGATAATGTCTGCATTGCACATCTAAGGCTATACAGCAAAAGAACCAGAATTAGTACAAATACAAGAACTATATTTACATTCTGTATACTCAAGCTCCAAACATCAGATAATATTTACATAATAAAACATGAAAATGAAAATCTGAAATTAATAATGTACATTGTTGCTAATGTGCTCAACTCCTTACTGGGGAGAGATCAGTTTGCAAAGTCTTGGTTCAGAAAGGCCACGTGTGCTCCACGGGTTCTGTGGCAGCGCACGCGGATGGTGAGAAGAGACCTGAAATCCCGACGGGTGGCGCCTTGCACGCGAGAGGGCCGACGGAGTCCTCGGACAAGCCGATGCCAGCATGTGCAGCCTGGAGAAAGGGAACTTGAAGACATGAAGACGACATGCAGCAGCCGGGGTCTGGCAAGAGACCAACCTCAGCTCGGACTTTCTGAGCACAGCTTTTAACAGGACATTTGCACCAACTCTCATTCTTTCCTTTAAATGATCAGAGGCTTTCCTAAGATTTCATGCGGCTCAAATCCAAATTTCATAAATGGCCTTTTGAACAACCGCAGATCATCTCTCAGCTGGCATTTCCATTTCCTAAGGACGCACACCCGGTCCATCCCCGGCACACAGTCACGGTCTGGCCGCACGCTGGGTGGGTGCCGCCGGCCGCAGGGGACAGCCCCCGTGCACACAAGTCGGAGGCCTCTGGCAAGTACATTCAGCAAACCTTCTGAGAGCAGCAGCAGAATTAGTGTCTTCTTTGTAAGGAGCAGGTTAACAATCACACTTCAGAAAGGGAACCCAAAGCAAAGATGAAGGACCCAAGTCTACCAGACCGACCAGCCCTGACCCGTCCTGGAGGACCCGTGTGGACACAGCGCGAGGAAATGGGAGCGTACCAGAGCTGCCCCGCACTGGGTCATCCGTTCTTCCCCAAGCCAATGTGCAATTCATTACAGCTGTATAAATATACAAATACCTTAAAAAATTAAATATCCCTGTAAATCACAACAAGCAGCAGGCAACGAAGTCTTTGCTTTGAAATATGCGCCAGGAAAAGTCATTTTTAGACCCCTAAGATCTTTCACAGTGATTTAACTTATTCCTTCAACTTAAAAGAGCTGAAAAGCCCCACTGAAAATATGGAGTAGTTGTGGAAGTTCAATGCAGCTGAAGGGGGAGAAAAATGTAAAGCAACAGTGGTTTCTTAGCTGGGAGAAATCACTTTCCTTCCCCTCACAGTGATGGCTTGAGCGTCTAACGATGTGCTAGGATTTGGGTGCCCACCCTGCTGCCAGCAACAACCCTTCCCTGCGCCCCTGGCTGTGTGCACGGCTGGCTGGCCCTGCACAGCCCGGCCTGAGAGCTGGCTGACTCCCAGGCCGGCGCAGAGGTGAGGAGGCTGTGGGCGCTGGCCCTCTGTGGGCTGTGAGGTCATGTTTTGCTTTGGCAGGAGGTAGGAGGGTGGGGAAGGAGGGGAGGACATGATTACTTTTCACTAGCACTCACTTCTCCTTCCTTTGTGTAGGAGCTTTTTCTTTTTGTTTTTTGCTTGTTTAAAGGAGTGCTTTTGGGGGAAAAAAAAACCACATTAAAAAAACCCTCAAAAGGTAGTTTCCTTGACTACTAATATTAATATGTTAATATTAAATATCAACTTTCCTGCCACCATGGCTTCAGTTAAAGCCTCCTAAGTAGTTCCTGCTATAAATGGTCTCTCAGCTTTGAAGTGGGGATGGATCTGCCCAGAAAGGGAACATTAATCCTGAAACCGTTCCAACTGCAATCTGGACATGGGCCGCTGAAGGAAAAGGGGAACCAATAAGGACCGTCCTCAGATGGTGGAAAGCACCGGCGCCAGAGACCCCTGCCGGACGTGGACATCCTGCTTCCTCAGGGGCCCTCTTACCCAGGGGTGTTACACGAACAGTCCAGTGCCACCAGCTCTAATCTCTGACACCTCCAAAGCAAAGACTTTCCAAGCCAGTTTTGAGTTAGAAGAAAAACCAAACGTCACTTCAGTGTATCACATGATTTGACTCCCCCTCAGCCCTCCCCACCTCCCTCTGCCGTGGACATGGGTCCCTCTGTCAGACTTCATGACAAACAGCAGCGGCACCCGTGACTTCATTTTAAAATGTGACCTTCAAATTTCATCTTCATTTCCCTGAAATTAGATTTCATTCCGGTCCAGCAGCGGTCTCTAAACACCAACAGGTCCTGGATTTGAGTCTACACCAGAAGGGCACAGAAGGGCATACTGTGCCCATTAGACAACGAAGAAACCTTTAACTACATTAAAAATCTCACGCACTGCTTAGAAAACAAGTAACATCATAGTTAATGACCTATGTTTTAAGGAGAGAAAGGAAGTTAAAAAAAACCTAGAGTTTTTATTGATCACTTTTCAGCTAAGATCACAGCCTGGGATTTCTATCCTTTCTCTCAAGCTTGCCATGATTCACTTTTCCTCCTCTCTGCAAGGCAACTCTACCGGAGCCAGAAGACCTGTTCTCAGAGATGAGCCCAACCAGGAGGTCAGAAGCAAGGGTCCGCTGACGCGCGCCTGCCCAGCTCTATTCCACAGCGGGCACGAGCCCCTGCCCCGAGCTGCCTGAAGCAGAAAATCAGCTGGTCCGCACCACCGGAAAGGCAGCAACTTCAAGGCTGGAAACCCTCAGTCTCCAAGAGGTGAGAGAGGGCAGATACTTTGCTGAATGCCTGAGGGACGGCCAACAGAGGTGTGTGTGAGGGGCCTAAGGATGGTACAGAACACCCCACATCAACCGGCAAAGCAACTGAATTAACCTGCAGGCCTTCCCTCCCCAGGCCGTTCCTATAAAACTTCCTGGCAGCTGAAAGAAAAAAGAGTATCTCATCTTCTTCCATGATGGCGTCTGCAGGCAGATGACCCTGTTCTGTCAGAGAAGGAGACTGTCAGCAGTGAGCTTCCTCTTTCTTCCTCTGGCAGTATTTCCACATCCCATGAGGGCAAGGTGGGGGCAGCAGCCAGCCACTGGGGCCAGGGCTCAGGTGTGCCTCTGCTCTGCCCCCCCCCCCCACCCCGGTGTCCTTTTGTTTTTTCTTTTTTCTTTTTTCAGTGGTGGGAGGGGATTTGTTTTAATCTCTTGATCCAGGAGGCAAAGCCTGCCTCGTCTGCTTATTTCTGATTATGGGAGAAGACGCGTTACTGAAAGCATTTTCCATTTGACAAGGACCACTCACTGGAGACGACCCCTGGATTCAGAGGGAGACTTCCAAGTCTGTACTTGAAAGTTACATTTCTTTGATCAAAAGGAGCTACAACAATCACAAGGTCACTACTCAGCATTACCAGAATTGTAATGACAACAATGACCATTAAATTCATTAGCAGAAAGTCACTCCCCCCTTGTGGGACATTTGTGTATGACACCGCACTAATTCCAAACTGTACCGCCATCGCTAATGCCAAAAAGAAAAATGAGAAACTCTGAGAGAAAAGCGGTTCACAGGAGCGCCTGCTGAGAGGAGCCATCCTCATCTCACTGTCTGCCTCCCTTCACGATACGACGTCAGATCCCACAGTCCTCTCAAATCCATGGGTAATATCCTGGGCTCTTCCCTTCCTACAAGGTCAGCAGTAGCCACCATTCCAGGCCCACTAAGAAGTCCTGCCTTCTCTCTTCCACTAAAAGAAAACTGCATAACTGCATTCTAAATAAGCACTTTCAGAGAACACACCTGTGCCATTTCTAAACTCATGACAACCTTTTCCCTGAAAGGAAAATGCAGGGATTCACAATGGCAAAAAGAGATGGAAAGGGAAAAGGTAAGTTTTCTCCTTTTAGGTTCTAAAAAAAGCTAGATGTTTCCTCCCGTAGTCTCTAAGCCACCCCCCACCCAAAATTAAAGTGACATCACAAATAGAGAAAAGGAAAAGAAGTATTATGTGGTCTTAAGAAACAGACAAAGATATCCAAAGACAGCAGTACAGACATCACAGGTGGTCATAATGGGGACCTATTATACAAAAGGAAGCCAAAAGACACGACAAAATAATATGGAGATTCACTGGATCCCCTCTGGGTTGTTTTTGTTTTTTTGTTTGTTTTTCTCCCTTTTGTTAGGCCACATGCTATGACCAAGATTCTCAGCACAAGAAAAAAGAGAAGGGTACAGAGCAATGGAGACGGGGGCACGGAGAGCTAGAGAGTGTTGACAGGAGGGAAAGCGGTTATTCCACAGGCTTACACGCGAGAGGGGCCATCAAGAATCACAGAGAGAAGTGAGAGGCAACACTTTCTTTATCTCTCACAGGCGAGTGTGGCTGCTCGGCTCAGTCACTTAGTCCTTCGGCTCGCTGGGGCATCTGCGGGAGAGTTTTGACCTACAGGGGACAGAGGAACAGGACGGATTAGAAAGCTGCATCCAGATGTCCCTCCCCCCAGCAGTCCCCTCCTTGGGCTTCTTCCCCTCCAGCACTCAAGGCCCAGGTCTCTAGGCTCCTGAGTAAGGAGGCTAAGCTGTGACACAGGAGGCCCCTGGGACACAAGCCCCTGACAGGATCAGAGGCTTGGATCACAGGCTGGACTACTGGGAGACCATGAAGGTTCTCACCACCTTCCCCTGACTCAGAAAATTAAATAAAATCTTGAAAAAAAAAATCAAAGCAGGACGTTAGCTGGACGCACATGTGACCGGCTTCCTTTAGCCATTCAGAACAGCGGGCGATAGCTTATGACGCGCGGAGGTCTCGTCCCCACATTACAACCATGCTTACGCGGCTGTCCTTCCTCTATCTTCAACCTACGTTTTGGGAACAAGACTTCCTTCTTGATTTACACTGACCAAAAGCCAAGAAGGAGGAAACACGAGGACGACTTCGTACCGTATTGTGCCAGCGAGGAGTGGGTTAAAGGCATACAACCAGTCGTTCATGTCTTTGTCGTTGAGAGCCTGTAAGAGGACCCCACGATGCTTTGTGCACACGGCAAAGATGTTGGGTGTCTGAAAGAGATGCAGGGGGACGGGAGAGTTACGACGGCTGCTGACAGCGGAGACCACACTGCCAGCCTCCCAGGGCACACAGCACCTCACACTGAAGGTTCAGGGAGACCAGACACACAGGAGAGAGGCCACACCATACTGCAGAGAGTTTAGAACTCAGAAGGGAGGGGTGCCGTGGCCGCCAGAGCCGGACTGACCTTCACCATGGCCTGCTGGTCCTCGCTGTACTCCACCTGAGCCGTGGACAGGTTAATGACGCCACGCTCCACGGGGTCTTTGTCGCTGTTGTAGATGAAGACATAAGGCCGACGGACCACGACAAAATGCTTAGCCCAGTTGCTGTAAAGTGGCTCCTTGAAGTGCAGGTACCCTTTCTTAGAGACCACGGAGCTAAAAAGGACAATAGGACAGTGGCTGGCTGTTTACAAAAACAAAGTGATCATGGCCTGAGGAACACGAAAATAGGTCTCACCGAGGCCCAGAGCCTAGGATGAACAAAACAGGCCAAAGATCTGTTTGGCCTAGAATCTTCCCTGCTAAAGTAACACAGCAAAAGAACACAAAATGCCACCCCCCGAGCACACTGTGGTGTGGTGACGTGCCTGATGGGACACCGCGGGGCAGGAACCAGCCCCGCTCCCTAGCCCAGACTGCACTGGCATAGACAGCAACGTACACCTCGGGTACAAGAGCGGAGAGAAGAGTGCTGTGATCTGTCTTTTATTCCCGGCATCCCTGGTCAGTACAGTACTCACCCTGGTCTGATTTCCTCAATATCTGGAACAAGATTGAGAAATTCATTTTTTCCTGCTCGGGCCAAATAGGGTGTTTCCACAGTTGGGACAATCTGAAACTGTTCAAATTCTGTGCAGGGACTAGAGGCCCGGGAATTGGCTTCTGGGGTCCTTTAAAAGAGAAAGGTTAGGGGCAAGAGGAGTGTCAGTGAGGTCCACGCACGAGTCTACCCCGCTCACTGGGAGGAACAAGCCCCCCCTCACCAGCAGGGGCCTCGAAAACATCGGCTGCAGAGAGCTCGGCTGAGAAGACAAGAGGTATCAGAATGTTAATTCCAGCTTTAACTGGGGTCATCCTTCAGAAGTCACAAAAGGCACCACGTCATGCCGTCCCTCTTCCTGCTCTGAAGCCCTCTGAACGGAAGTGTCAGGGGCATCAACCCCATTCCCTTACGTGTTTCTATTTTGTTCCCAGGCCACAACTAGGGCAGTGGCTCTCAAAGTGTCATCCCTAACCAGCAGCAACACCTTCACCTGGAAACTTGTTAGAAATTCAAATTCTCGGGCTCCAACCCAGACCTACAGAATTAGAAACGATGGACGTTTACCCATCTCTACAAGCCTCCCAGGTGACGCTGGTGTGCTCTGACATCGGAGCGCCACTGCCCTAGGGGGCTGGCGGGGAAAGCAAACAAGTGGGAAGAAGCTGGCTTCCCCGAACCACCACCGACTGAAGGCAGCCCAGGACCGTGCTGTGAGCAGGAGCGCCTACACTCTGCACTGTGAGTTATCCCAGAGCAGCTTAGCCTGGTGAATTGTATCTCGCCCATTCCAAAAATCCCATTTTTTTAAATACTTGACCATTTCTCAAGTTGGGACGCGTCTTACAATTGATGACAGGCCACATTTGGGTTGCAGTGCTTTTTTCTTTCTTAGTGGCAGCCCATTAAATAATGTTATAGTTGATGACATCCCGAATTAATTAAACCACCTGCTTGTGCTATTTTCTCAGCCACACTCACTGGTGGCCCCGTGGGTACAGTATGACAGACAGCTGGACGATACCAGGTGGGTTCTGACAGGCGAGCACGCTGAACAGAGACAGGCCCAGGAGTGTGATGGTGAATCACAAACAAGTGATTACAGTGATGAATTCACTGGATCTAGACTAAATCTGTCTCTATTATTCTTACCAACATGTTTCATTGTGCCGTCAAAATATAATTTCCAAACTAGTTTTAAACTGTTTTCCCCAAGATGGGGACTTGCTCTGTGTGACAGGACTGGGGAACCATGCAGGAGTGGGAATGGTGGGCCAAACGCACAGGAGAGGGATTCAGAAGAGGAACCAAGGGTTTTCATGCAGGAAGCTGGCGACACATGGTGGCAGAAGGAACAGGAGCATCTCCCTGGGGCTGTGATAGCCGTAAAGGGCTCCCACGTGCTTCCGAGCGCTGCAGAGAGGGCTGGTCCTGCCCTCAGCGGAGAGCCAGAGCTAGAGGAAGGCTCGTGTATCTTTGGTTCTTAGGCTAGCTTTTCCCCGTGAAGTCTGGGTAATTGAGGCTTCTTTTCTTCTTTTTTGTATGTATGTATGTGTTTTTTGTAATCATTACCGCCAATGCAGGGCTCAAACCCCGAGATCAAGAGCTGCACCCTCGGGGCGCCTGGGTGGCTCAGTGGGTTAAGCCTCTGCTTTCGGCTCAGGTCGTGATCTCAGGGTCCTGGGATCGAGCCCCACATCGGGCTCTCTGCTCAGCAGGGAGCCTGCTTTCTCCTCCTCTCTTTCTGCCTGCCTCTCTGCCTTCTTGTGATCTCTCTCTCTCTCTCTCTCTCTGTGTTAAATAAAAAAAAAAAAAAAAAAAAAAAAGAGCTGCACCCTCCACCAACTGAGCCAGCCAGCCGCCTCTTTTATTATTATTATTATTATTTTTAGTAAACGAGGGTACTTACTTCTGCTCCAGAGAGTTGCTTCTGGCATCTACCAGAGAAGGGCAGGTGGAGGAAGGAGTGAGGGTCGCGCTGCTGAAACTGGACACGGAGGGATCCCGTCCGATAGGAGAGATATCAGACAACTGGGGGCGGGGGGGGGGGGTGGCAAATGGAAGACAGCCCGTGAGATTCAGCTGAAAACCCAAAATGCCTCTCTAATGAGGAGCTCTGACAGCCAGTGACCTCCCGTTCATATATCTGCTGCTGCAGGTCATTCAAGAAAACGACTTACAAATCCTTTACGGCCTGTCACATTAGGAATCATTTACAAGCGGCCAGGCTGGTTTTTCATTTTGTGACTGTCCTGTATTAATTAAATGAGCCTATCTCTGTGAGCCCAGGATTTAAAACAACAGGCACTATTCCAAAAATATGGCAGAGGCCCTGTCCTCCAGGAGCTTACATTCTAACTGGAGAACAAATCAACAAACAATTTGCAAAGTGTCAGGTAGTCGTACAATGCAGTAATTCTACTATTGGGTATTTGCCCAAAGAAAATGAAAACACTAATTCAAAAAAGATACATGCACACCTATGTTCACTGCAGCATTACGTACACTAGCTAAGACAGGAAAACGACTCAAGTGTCCACTGGTAGATGAACGGATAGAGAAGACGTGTCTATGCACACAGTGGAATGTCATTCAGCCACAAAGATAACGAGATCGTGTCATTTGCAACAAGATGGATGGACCTGGAGGGTATGATGCTACGTGAAATATGACAGAGAAAGACAAAGCCCACATGATTTTACTTACATGTGGAACCTAAAAAACAAACAAATAAAAAACAAGCAAAAAAGCAGGCTTTTAAGTACAGAAACGAACTGAGGGGAGATGCTGAGGGGATGGGAAACATGAAGGGGATGAAGAGGTACAGGCTTCCGGTGACAGAGTAAGTCGGTCATGCAGATGAAAAGGACGGCGTCGGGAATACAGCCACTAACACTGTAATAACACCGTGCAGCGACAGATGGGGATGACAATTGTCACGTGGTGAGCCCTGGCTAAGGTACAGAACTGTTCCATCACTATGTTATACGCCTGGAGCCAGCTTAACACCGTGTGTCAACTGCACTAGAATAAAACGCGGCGTCAGATGGTGGTAAGAGCTACAGCAAAACATGCAGCAGGGAGAGAGGTCAGGCGGCTTCAGGGAGCTGCTGCCTTTACAGAGGGTGGCTAAGGAGTGGATGTTCGAGAGAAAAATAAACAAGATAAGGGCGCCAAACATGGGAACATCTGGAAGGAGACGACCCCGAGGAAAGGAACAGCGAGGGCACAAAGGCCTCTCCAGCAGGAAGGAAGAGGGAGCAGAAAAGGTCACAGGGCCCAGCACTGAGTTCGTGCTGCAGAGGCGCTTTCAGCGCTTGCCTCTTTGCTGAAGGCAACAACATTTAATGCCACCAAGAACCTCAGGACTTCTGGTGTCCTGTCACACAGTGACATACCAGTCCCTACAAGGTCTTCTCCAAGGGATTCCGGGAAAAGCCAAAATGTGTCCCATCTGATAACACTCTGAGAGACACATCTGATAACACTGCAGAGCCTTTATCTGCGGAAGTCAGTGTTCCGACTCGGAGAGATTAAATCAAACACAAGAGCAGGTACGTCCTTCATCCTCAGACCCGACGCTACATGCATGTCAAAGCAGGGACGTGGAACGGGGAACCTGGGTGGCTCACCTTGCAGTCACTGATGCTGCTGTGTACCTGGCTGAGCTCCCGGTTGAAAGTGTGGGTGAGGAGTTGCAGGCACTAGGGGAGAGAGAGGAAGGTGTGAGTCTCAACGGTTCCATGAAGCCTTCGATGCAAGGCAATTGGAGGAAACAACAGGCTAACACCCACAGTGGAGCTCAGGTGCGGCCCCGAAAGGTCTAGAATGAAGTACGAATGTAATTTAGCAAGGGCAGCCTGGCGTATGCCTAATGAAGAGACATTAAGTGGGTCAAAAAGTCATTCTCAAGACAAGAGCTGCCAGCACCACAGTCTGGAAGTGCTTAAGAACACAACAGTGCCCCTTCCCATTCCTCCTGGTCCTCAAGGCCATGGAGACTTCTGGATGGACATTATTTTTCTAAACTGACTAGAAGACCATCTGGTTACTGAAACAACACGGCACAAAAGCCCTCTCACCCCTCTAGCCCACTGTGGGCTGGCTGCCCAGACACCACACGCCTGGGAGTCATCCTCAGCGACCCCTTTGCCCTCTCCCACCCCATCCGGGCAACAAGGAGCGCCAACTCTACGGCCCCGGTGTCTCTTCCGTGATGACTCTTCCTCTCCAGCCCGCAGCCTCCTGCCTCAGCGGAAACCCACACCATCTCTCACCCGGAGAGATCTCTGTGCCGTCAACAGCTCTTTGTGCCTTGAGTCTCTGTCACCCCAAACCCACCCTCTTTCTTGCTGCCACAGTGGTCTTCCTAAAACACGAACACTAGTTCAAGATATTTCTGTATCACCCCCAGGACACTGCACTCTAGTCCAGTCCCCAGACCCTGCTAACCACCGCCCCCCCGCCCCGCCCCGTGTTCCCCAGAGACTTCCAAGCGCTGAGCTGTAGCCTACGTGGTCGCTCCGGGGCAGGCTTCCGAGCTTAGCTCAGCAGCACCGGCCCGTGGAGGCCTCTCCTCTGGCTCCCCCGGACTCAGACACAGACCTTTATCACATGCTTGTCACCGAGTCACCTGTGAGTGCAGCAAGGGTAGAAATGGAGTCTTACTTATTTCTATCTTCACAGCGAGTACAGGCCTTGAAACAGAGGCCCTCAAAGAAACATGAAAATGAAAACCCAGCTCCTAGGGGGCTCGGCGAGAGGAAGGGACTCATACCTTGGTAGCCAGCTCCTTCTCTCGGTCCACCAGGCTTTCAATGTCCGCCGAATCATAGCCGCTACTCTCACTGGGGGTGATGGCGCTTTCAAAGGTGGTGGTAGAGATCTGAGAGGAGATGCTGGTGGAGGTGCTGAGAGTCCCGCTGCTGAGGCTGGGGGACAACGAGTCACTCAGGGATCTGGGGATGCTGTCACCAAGTCTCTCACGAAGCAGCAGGAAGTGGCGAGTTTTCTCTACCTGAGAAGATCAGCACAGCTGCCTCAGCGGACATAAACTCGTTGAGATTTTTTTGTTTTGTAAAGATTTCTTATTTATTTATTTGACAGAGCGCGAGAAGAAATACAAGCAGGGGGAAGGGGAGAGGGAGAAAAAGGCTTCCCGCTGAGCAGGGGAGCCCGACGCGGGGCTCCATCCCAGGACCCGACCCAAGATTCTTTTTTTAAAGATTTATTTAGTTATTTATTTGAGAGAGAGAGAGAGATGGAGGGAGGGTGAAAGAGCGCTTGCGTGAATGGAGTGGCAAGGGGCAGAGGGAGACTGAAAGGGACAAAGAATCTTCAGCAGACTCCCCACCACTAAGCAAGGAGCCTGACATGGGGCTCGATCTCATGGCCCCAAGATCATGACCTGAGCCGAAACCAAGAATCAGGCGCTTAAGCGCTGAGCCACCCAGGCACCCCAAAGCTCATTAAGATCTTAGTAAGGGAAATATGCCTCCATCATGACTGAAAGGCGAAAAGCCAAGATCACACAGAGAAGGTGAGTGGTGGCTGGTATTTTGGGACTCGTGCTCAAGAGTTCACTTGAGCGTCTCCTGCCTTTGGGTACCTCGTGAAGGAGCTCCAGCTTCTCTAACTCCCACTGGTGCTCAAGAATGAGACTGTCCCCACGGGGCCGCCAGCCTGCTAAGTTCTCTTCTCCTCGCACATATGCCACTGATGTATCCAAGATTTTTCTTCTTCTCCTCTGCATGCCTGAGCCAAGAGAAAACATTTTATTTTTTTTTCAGAGAAAACCCTGATTCCATTTTTAGCTCAAAATAATTCATACACATGGCAAATCATGACACTTACTCAAGATCCATGGGATTTTATTTACTAATAAATATTTATCCCTTTTCCCCTAAAGGAATTCTTTGAACTTCTTTTAAAACTGAGTTACATTCTTTGATAACTATGAAGACTGTGATGCAATTTGAGAAGATGCCCAAGCTATTGTGTTAAGTGAAAATGTAGAAAGACTGAATAGTCTGTACCTTATGGTTCCAAATATATAAAAATACACCCTTATGAATAAAGTAGGAAAGGACCACTTCTCCATTTCCCTTCCCCCCGCCGCGCCCCACATTCAGAAGCTCGGTTAGGGCTCCAGATGACGGACAGCTTCGGCACCATCATTTCCCATCAATTTTTAAAAAATGTTAGACTGTTTATACATATCAAAGATATAAATTTATGTTAATTAAGAAACTTTCTTAAGAAGGTATCTGGACACTATAATTAGCTGCTATTGGGATTAGGACTCATACTCAAGTTGTTTTTAATCTAAAGCTTACCTGTGGGACCTGACCTTCTTCCGTTAAGTGTTCTCTAAGATAATTCAAACTCACCTTAATCAAATGCTCTTTAAAAACCCTGACTTTTGTCCATGTTCCAGTTTATAAACATAGAAATGCAAAGGCCACCAAGCCAGAGGAACAGCAGCAGTGCAAAGAGATATCAGAAAGGACACAGTACAGATTCAATTTAATAATCCGTCTTCCTAGAGCACAGGAAGTTCGAATTCTAGCTCGATAGCACCTATAAAGCTACCCTGCTGAGGTATCTTTGGCACTAACATGGAAAGGGAAATGGTTATGAAGTCTGCCAACCCAAATTCATTCTAATATACTCAAAATTTTTTATAATACAGTGCAACCTCGTGACATTTTGTTCAATATAGTTTTCATAACTGTTTAGGAGGTCTCAAACCAAACAGTGTTGTAACTCAGAAAAAGGTAACTCTCATCACCACCAAAAAAAAAAAAAAAAAGGCTTATGAAATATACCTGCTTTCTAAAAAATTTTCTATCAATCCTACGTGAGTAGGATAGATTTTGGACATAATATACTGCAAACACAGGCACAGGTAACTATCAGCTCCCCATCCATAAGGGCTTACCTGGACTGCCCGTGTCCGCCATTTTGCATAAACTGAGTTCATAAATTCCAGTGACTCGATTGCTATTCGAATGAAAACAAACAACTGGTTAACTTCTTACAGCACAAAAGCAGGAAAATCTCAATTCCTTCCACTTAAAACACTGCTGTCCGGACTGCAGCCCACACTCAAATGCAATTACAGACTTTTCTTATTTCTTTTCTTATTCTAAACTTAAGAAGTATATTTTTCCTAGAAGGAGTTTGTTTTCAACCCAATCTCTTGAATTACTTCAACAGGAGGAATGAATTGAATGATAAACCCCAAAGTGTGTAATACAAATATACAAATTAAAAATCTGCCTTACCACAAGAGAAGAGATGAGGGGGAAAGTCTGACTAGAATGAAATGGTGAGCATCGAATTCGGGGGCGTGTGACTAGGAACCTTACTGTTTAGACTAGGGAGTGCGGCACAGGTAATCCCTGTGTTAGGCCTGACGTATTTTGATGTACCTTAAACAGGAATAAGTCTTTAACAGAAGAAAACCCCAGTGGTAATCGGTAAGAATTAACGACATCTGAAAGAACATTCAGTCCCTGCAAAACTGCTCCGCGAGGGTCCCAATGTAATACGACTTTGTCCCTTCACGCACGCACGCACGCACCCATCAGGATTTCAGTCAATGCCAACACCTGGGAGTTACCGCATCCCGCTATCAAGCTGGAAGCCGACCCTGAAACAGCAAGCCAGGGACCCCGAGGGCTCTGCTGAGTCTGCTGGGGGCGAACCAGCTGGAAGCTACCCTTGTCTCAGACACTTACGAGTCTGGTGACTTCGAGTAGCCACTGCCAAAGAGGCTGCGCAGAGAGCGTGGCGGTGAGATCTTGGCGTCCCGGGAGTAGAAGACCATGCACACGTCCTTGGTGATGACCGCCGGCTGGATGCAGTGATCCAGCTGAAAGCACAAGAAGTGGGCTCCACTTAAATGCAGACAGAGCACCCGTGGCAGGACTCTGTGCCCCGCAGAGTTGGAGAGCTGGTCCTGGAGGTGGGGGCTGGAAGATGTCAGCTCTACCAACTACTTCAACGGCAGCTCAGCAGATAGTGTGTGCAAGAGGAGGTCGCAGTCCTTGCAGCTGCTTTATTTTCCCCAAATTAAAAAAAAACTTTCTTCTGAAATAATGGCAAATAGTTATTATTATGTGCCAAGCACTGTTCTAATGCTTTTGTGTATGACCTCTCTACCCCTCTGTGACGTAAATGCCGTCATTATTACTCCCATTTAAGAGATGGGGGAACTGAGGCACAGACAGAGGCCCGGTCATGCTGGCAGTAAGTGGCCGCACAGGGATCTGAACAGACAGGCTGGTTCCAGGGTCTACACCGTTAATCACTACTAGGCTCTGCCCAAAGCCATAAAAAGAAGAGGCGAAGTTTTCTTAAAATCATACCTTCTGTGAAGAAGAAGGTGATTAGGTTACTAAAACTGAAGTTATAATAGAAGTCATATGACCTTCTTTAAGTTTATTTATTATTATTTTTTTTAGTAATCTCTACACCCAACATGGGGCTCGAACTCATGACCCCAAGATCAAGAGTCACAGGCTCTTCTGATGGAGCCAGCCAGGCACCCCATGGTAGACTTTGTGATTACACAGAAACTAGGAGCAGAAGCTAATACAGTCAGAACAGTAGGAAACAGATGACAAAATAATCAGTTGAATCTTTCCTCCTCACTTGTGGTAATCTGCCCATTGTTCAGGCCTAGCCATTCGTGGTGATTTAGGTTCACAATCTCCTCACCTCTAGGTATGCTGACAAGGTCATGTAGATCTTTTCCCCATAGGGCGTCACTCGGTTCAGAAGGAGAGAGTTATGGAGGGAGCTGTCCCACACGGCCTCGAAACGGTAGAAGGTCCTGAGGTCAGAAAGGCAGGAGGTAGTCATCCAGAAGAAGCCAAGTCACCTCGGTCCAGGTACTCAGTCAGTGACACTACTGCATCCTGCATCCTACACCAACAAACACTTGCGGCGTACTGAAATCTAACGACACAGCGGAGCCTTCATCCCCAGAAGGAAAAGGCAGGCCCCCAATCTCTCACCCCACCCACCACTAGGAGCATTTAGCTATGCTTTTCTTTTTTGGACAAGTCTGCTTCTCTGCCTATAAACATAAAACCAGATCAATCAAAGAGATTAAGATGGAAAGGACAAGCGCCTGTGGACAGAAACTGAAGGAAGAAAGCCTAAGTAAATGCCTCTGTCAGCCAACAAAGAGAGCAAGAAGCAAATCCTCAGGAGCCTGGAAGCCTATCTTCACATCCCAGTCCAGTTCCGCCGAGCCTTCGAAATGTCACAAACACCTGCGAGGCCTGACAGAGGAAACAGGCAGGATAATTTAAGTACAGAAAATCTGATTTTAAATAAAAGAATAAGAGGCTACTCTTAGCTGAGGTTTCAGTAAAAGAATGATTTTAATACCAAAACTGGTTACTATTCGTTACCTTTCAAAAAAATCCACATGAAAACCAATCTTAAGCTTCCATAACAACCTGAAGCTTGACTTTATAAGCACCCAGAAACTGTTCTTTTTATTTTTTTTTAAGATTTTATTTATTTATTGGACAGAGAGAGATCACAAGCAGGCAGAGAGGCAGGCAGAGAGAGAGGGGGAAGCAGGCTCCCCGCTGAGCTGAGAGCCCGATGTGGGGCTCGATCCCAGGACCCTGAGATCATGACCTGACCCAAAGGCAGAGGCTTAACCTACTGAGCCACCCAGGTGCCCCATGAGAAACTGTTTTTTGTTTTTTGTTTTTTTGAAACTGTTTTTTTTTTTAAGTTGTTCTAATATCTACCTTTTTTCTTACTGGTAAAGCCCCACAAACCTGACCGGACAGCGGTTCTGCTGGTTCTGCCACCCCCTCCAAAGCACTGCACTGAGTTACAGCCCAACTCCCAGCTCCGCTCGCAGCCCCCAACCCCGGCAGGCACCATGACAAGGGCCTGCTCGTCACAGAGCACGTTCCGTCCCACTGGCTTGCACCCGGTTCAGCGAGAAAGAGTTTCCTCACACTTTGCTTCCTTCTACATTCCTCCTTGCTCCTTCCCAAATGGTAACCTTGCTATTGCCATGTTTTCTAGATTTCCTGTGACAAATAACTTTCCTAAATGAGATGGAGAGAGATGGGGAAAAACGTCCTTCACCACTGAACCAGGATTTTTTTCTACCCCAAAAGAAGAAAATAAATAGATGAGACAAGCAGCTCTGACAGCAGAAAGAGAAATGTTTAAAAATAAACAACCTATTTCTCACAGACTCAGCTGCCCAAATAAGTCTCTACTACCTCACAGGCCAAAACCAAGAAAACAGTGAGTGATTATGCAAAACAACAGAGCAGCAAAGTCTCACGCTCCTGACAGGGGACAAAGAGAACAGAAGACCCAGGCTGAGATTCCTCATGGAAGGAGGGGAGTCACACTCTAATTTGTAATCCAGTGGAGGCGAAGCGGAAGGTGCATAAGGATAAAACGGGCAGGTTTAGTGAATGGGACAAGAAAGAGGGGCTCTATCAGACCCTCATGAAGCAGTGTGTGAAACTGCACGCAGCAGGGACAGCCAGGGCACAGAGGGTACACGATAAGGCGCAGCTCTATCCTAGGTCTGCACGGGGCGACACTACTAACTGAGAACGGCAGTCCAAGCAACAGAAGACATAAAGCATTCTGATAAACTAGAATCTTTATGTGCAAAAAAGCAAACAGAAAATACCTAGGAGTATCCTTATCAAGAAAGAGCCTGCAAAAACATAGAGAAGGCTTTTGTTAGTGTAGTAGCAGAACAAAAAAGGAAAGGAAAAAAGAGCAAAGCAAAAGGGAAAAAAATACATAAAAAAGACATATTTGCTGTGAAGCAAAGTAAATCCAAGGGGACAACGAACAGAGAACTCCATGGGCACAATCTGACAGACAGCTTACAATGACACGGGTCCCTCTCCTGAGACATTTAGTTAAGGAAAATGCTGGGCACAGAAAGGATGGTGGACGCCACCTCCATTAACACCCGGTCTGCAGGTGACGCAGTACTGGAAATGGTAGGAAGCTGCTGTGGCGTGAAGGGAAACCACGTCAGTTAGGTGACCCAGAAGCAGGACTGGGAAGAAAAGCGGCAGTGGCCCCTGTGGCCTGCATAGCACTAGCTGGGCCCCGGGAGAGCGCTCACAGGCGAAGGTGTTCCACACACCCAAACTGGAGTTCTTTAAGTTCAACTTTAAACAGTAAACCTTAGGCAAATAGAACAAAAGCTCTCTTAACCAAATTCCACTTAGCAACTTCCCAAGTTCACTTATGCTCTCCATATTCTTAAAATATAAAGACAGATGTCCGGTTCGCACTGAGCATCCTCGACTAGTGCAATCTCCCATGCCAGATGCTTTGCTTCCAAGACCTGGGTATTGTGCTTACCAAGTATCAATAGTATTTAGTTCTTATAGAGTTTTAGTTAATATAATCATCTAATTTAATCAAATATTAGGCAAATCCATGAAACATGAGGGCAAAAGGAATTTTTGTTTAGTGCAAAACTTTTTTTTTTTTTTGAAAGATTTTATTTATTAGGGGGCACCTGGTGGCTCAGTTGGTTAAGTGGCTGCCTTCAGCTCAGGTCATGATCCCAGGGTCCTGGGATCGAGTCCCACATCGGGATCCCTGCTCAGTGGAGAGCCTGCATCTCCCTCTCCCTCTGCCTGCCATTCTGCCTACCTGTGGTCTCTATCTCTCTGTCAAATAAATAAATAAACGGAAACTAAAAAAAAAAAAAGATTTTATGTATTTATTTGGCAGACAGAGAAAGACCACAAGCAGAGGGAGCACGAGCCAGAAGGAGAGGGAGAAGCAGGCTCCCCGGTGAGCAGAGTCTGAGACAGGACTCGACCTAAGCTGAAGGCAGCCGATTAACCGAGTGAGCCACCCAGGTGTCCCTAAGTTGAATTATTTTATTTTATTTTATTTTATTTTATTTTATTTTTTGAGAGAGTGTGTGAGACAATGTGAGCGAGCAGGGCGAGGGCCAGAGAGAGAGAATCCCAAGCAGGCTCCATGGTCAGCATGGAGTCAGATGCAGGGATTGAGCTCATGACCCTGAGCTTGTGACCTGATAAAAAAAATCAAGAGTCAGATGCCCAACCCATTGAGCTACCTAGGCGCTTCCCAAGTTGAATGTTTGTTTGTTTTTTAAAAGATTTTATTTATTTGACAGACAGAGATCACAAGTAGGCAGAAAGGCAGGAAGGGTGAGGGGGAAGCAGGCTCCCCGCTGAGCATGGAGCCCGATGCAGGGCTCTGTCCCAGGACCCTGAGATCATGACCTGAGCCAAAGGCAGAGGCTTAACCCACTGAGCCACCCAAGTGCACCCCCAAGGTTGAATGTTTGTAAAAGACATGATAATGCTGAGTTAAAAAACAGTTGTTAAGTTTGGATGTGATCAATGTGAAAAAAAGGGGGGGGGCAAAAAATAAAATTTTAATGATCAATGTTAAAACGTTTAAAGATTTTACATCATTTAGTTTCTTTATAGGTTTCTAGTTCTTTTTTTTTTTTTTTTTTAAAGATTTTATTTATTTATTTCACTGACAGAGATCACAAGTAGGCAGAGAGGCAGGCAGAGAGAGAGGAGGAAGCAGGGTCCCCGCTGAGCAGAGAGCCGATGTGGGGCTGGATCCCAGGACCCCGGGGTCATGACCTGAGCTGAAGGCAGAGGCTTTAACCCACTGAGCCACCCAGGCACCCCTAGGTTTCTAGTTCTTGTTCCACCAAATTAAAAATCAGATGATGAATTATGGGCTTGGTTTTGCAAGACAGACAATCAGAAGTTCAGTAAATGAGCCTACAATTTAAGGAAAGGCCTTGGCCCTGCAGTAAGACATTGACAAATTAATGTACGTTTATATAGCTTAAATTTAAAATGTTTTAAGTGTGTATCTTTTTATTAAAAATACTTGACTTTGGCCAACTTCTTTGATTAACTCTAAACTTCTGTGAAAGAAGCTGCTTCTAATGAAAGCCAAATTAATCTACAGCATCTGATCTGTGGCTGGGTATGAATCAAAGAACTTTTGAAGTTTCCTCTAATGTAGGCAACCAGCATTTCAATCAAATATCATTGTTCTGTGCATTTTGCTAAATATTCTAGGGAAATTTCAGATCTATTTCTTATAGTTGCAAAGAAAACACGGCGCATAGCAGCTGAGTATCTGCTATCGATGTCCCGCTGGAGAGAAAACCGTGCGCGGTTACCGCTGACTTCGGAGAGACGATCGCTCACGATTCTGCCCAGGGCTAGGCCAGGCCGGGCCAGAGCATGCTTCCTTATCTCTGCACCCCTCCCACTCAGGCACACCCTCATATTCCTTCCTTCTCTCTCTCTCTCTCTCTCTCTCTCTCTCTCAGTGCCTTCAGCTCCTCCTACAGGCAAAAAACAGACACTTGCTTTTTTTTTCTATGCAAAACAGCCACAAGGAACCAATGGAAAGAAATTAATTCCAGCCCAAACTTTTAAGCCTGTTTCTGCTTTTTGTCTCCCTTTTTCCTCTCCCTCTTTCCAACACAGATGTGAGGACATTTTTCCGGAACAGACAGAGGTGTAAGTCTTCCTGAAATGCAAAGGCCAGCCCTGCTTTCCAGCCCTTGCCACATAAAGGAGTGGGGTCTGTGCACACTGACATCACTCCCTTCCTGGGGAGGGAGGGGGCCCCAGTAGATTTATCTCCAGTCCGACATGGGAAAGCAGATTGGCTGTGTACTTTAGGCACTTTCTGTCCTCATTTGATTATAAAATGGAATTTTAAGGGAAACTAATTTAAAATTTAAAATAAAATTCATTATTTATAGCAGACAACCTTGTTCAGAAGAGTTTATATATATTAGTTTGTCACCTTTCTGAGTAAATGAAAATGAAAAGCAAACACAGACTCGTGGACCCTCTGCGGGCAGCAGCAAGGCTAGACACAAGAGGGTCCGTTATGCCAGGAGGACGTGCTTCCATGACACTCAGGACCAACAGACCTTCCTCTACAGCAACCTCTTCACAGCAAAGCAGTCTCAGCAACAATTAATCTGTACTTTTAAACCCCTGGGTAGCAGGCTGCGCTTTCTTTTGCTGCTCTTGTCTCTCCGACTGTGTTACATCTATGCAAACTCCACCACACAGGACAGAACTTTCATTCGATCCGGTAACTGATCCCCGATCCCCACGCCCGGGCCTCTATTTGCTTTCGGAGAGCAGCGCGGCAGGGAGGAGAGGGATGTCTGAAGTGAGGAAGGAATTTGTTTCTGCACCTGAACAGGAGTCCCCGGTGAACAAGGAATCCCAATGGGGGAGCCATCAGCCCCTACAGGGGGGCCCCCTCGGGCTGTGCAGAGGCCCTACCTGCTGGAGTTGTGGGAGGACTTCAGGTACTTGGCAGAGATAATATTTAGAGAGAGGATGGCATCCACCGCAACCTCATCCACCTCAGCCTTATTCCTGATCCGGCCTATGAGGAAGAACAAAGAAACTAGGGCAGGGTACACTTGCAAACACAACAGAAATTCAATTAGCCAAAGAGAGACTTTTAAACCCAGGTACCTTCAGGTGTTGGAAGGGTCACGTGGCTCACCGCCGAGTGCTCTCCCACAATTTCCCATGTTGCATTCTGCTGACTTCCCACATTTAGTCCATTGTGAAACCTGACTGATTCTCTATTCAAAAAATTTCTCAGATCACCTCAACTTTTATTTCCACCACCCCCTGCTCGCAAAGGTCATCCCCCTCCTGTCTGGAACGCTGCGGTGGCCATTTCACTGGCCTCCTGGCTGCTCACCTCTCCCCCTCTCCAATCCACCCTACGCCCACTTTCAACTTCTTAAGCCACTGCCTTCGTTATACCACTTTCTTGTTCAAAATCCTACAACCGTCTTCAAATGAAGACTGGGGGAACCCGAGGGGGTGCAGGGCCTAGAGGTCAAGAGCATAGTCTGTGGAGCTGGACTGCCGGGGTCAAAACTCAGCTTCAGTACTTTCTGGCTGTGAGGCTTAGGCATACTGCTCAACCTCTCTGAGCCTCATCTTTGAGGCAGGATTAACAATTCTGCTCTCACAAGATTGTTACAACCATGTTATATGCTTGTTACATTATATTAAATAAACTAGTATTTTTAAAGCATTCAGAAATGTACCGTTACAGAGTAAATTAAGTGTTCATTAAAAAAAAAAAAAAAAAAACAGGGCTTGAAAACCACTGCCCTAGATGAAGAGAATATAATCTCCCTTCTAGAGGTTCTTAATCTGGTCCACAGATAACTCAAAGAGTCTATGTATAGAATTCAGGAGGTCCTTGCGCTTCAATGAGAAAAAGAAGTACAACTTTATTTTCATAAACCTCTGAGTGACATTTGGCATTTCCTTCAATTCTGAAAGGAGGGGACAATTCACAGGAAAATCAGCAGTACCCGTGACTCTGTCCACAGCAGAAATCATAGAAGTTTTCCTATAATACTAAGATAAAATATCCTGACATTCATCACACTCTGAATGATAAAAATCAGACCCACTGCTTCTTTAATGTACTTAATGCATTAATATAAAGGACAGTTTATGTTATAAATCTGTTTAGTATTTGAGCAATTTCAGTACCATTAGTTCCCTTTGTAATCCCATGTACAGCTGACCCTTGAACATGGGTGTGAACTACAAGGGTCCACTTATATATACAGATTTATTTCCTTAAGTACAGTCAGCACTGTGAATGTATTTTTTCTTCCTTCCTTTTTTTTTAGAGAGAGCTCACATGCAAAAGCTGAGGGGAGCAGAGGGAGAGGGAAAGAGAATCTTAAGCAGGCTCCAATCCCAGCGCAGAACCCGACATGGGGCTCCATCTCCCTACCCTGAGATCACGACCTGAGCCCAAATCAAGAGTCAGACACTTAACCGACTGAGCCAGCCATCCAGGTGCCCCCTTATACTTTTCCTAATAACATTTTCGTTTATCTAGCTTACTTAAAGAATACAGTATATAGGGCGCCTGGGTAGCTCAGTGGTTAAGCATTTGCCTTAGGCTCAGGTCATGATCCCAGGGTCCTGGGGTCGAGCCCCGCGTTAGGCTCCCTGCTTGGCGGGGAGCCTGCTTCTCCCTCTCCCACTGCTTATGTTCCCTCTCTCCCTGTCAAATAAAATCTTAAAAAAAAAAAAGAATACAGTATATAATACATATAACATACAAAGTATGTGTCAATTGACTAAGTGATTGGGAAGGTTCTGGTCAACAGTGGGCTGTTAGCAGTTACATTCCGGGAGTCAAAAGTTACAAGTGAATATTCGACTGTGTTTCTAACCCTCATGTGGTTCAAAGGTCAGCTGTACTTTTTTACATTTAAAAACACAATTCTGAGGCTTTGCACTGCCAAAGGGGTTCATGGCAATAAAGATTCAGAACCCTGCCTTGGGACTCTAAAGCTTATAAGGTTTAGTCAATTTTTTCTTTTCATCATGCGACCCTGGCCATGGGTTTCTAGCCATCTGCATGCTGGAGCCGTTCCTGACCCTCTTACTCAAGGTGCTTTGTGTGTGTGGAAAACAAAACAGATGAAAACGCTCTCATTTCTCCTGCATCTACTCAGACCCACTTGGATCCTTTTTGTTGTTAATTCTCAGCACAGATCTTTCTCACTCGCCCTCATTCTGGGACTTACTCATCAAAGTGCTTTATTTATTCATTATTTTTTGAAAGTATATATATTTATTTAAGTACTCTCTACACTCGGGGTGGGGCCTGAACTCACGATGCTGAGATGAAGGGTCGCACACTCCACCAACTGAGCCAGCCGGGCTCCCCAAACTGTTTTAAACATACATATGTTGTCTCCCCAATGGAACTCCCAACGAGCAAAAACTTCTGCCCTCTCTGAGCCTCTAACACAGAGCCATTCCCACAATAGCTGAGTAAAACAATGGTTGGTTGAATGCCTTATCCCTAACCATGGGGGCTGAGAAACAAGAGTAGCTTCAAACTCAAGGCCACATGTCCTCCACACTCTGTGTTCTCCAGTACCCTCACCCCACATTCCCCGTGTTCCTCGAAAAAGCCCGGCTCCAACCTCAGCCGATGGAACGTACTCACCTACCACCAGCTCACGAACATCCTTCCAATGGAGTTCACTCCCCTTCTCGTGGATGATGGTCACTGTGACCCTTCGCTGGATGCCCTAGGTGACAGAGCCAGGCTGCCATTTAGCTGGGACAGTCTATGATTTCCTCGTGTGTTCTTTTCCGGATTGTATGGTATAGGGGTGGGCAAGAGGAGAGGTCTGGGGAGAGGGGAGGAATGCTGTCCCCACTGTTACTCTAAACAAAGGGATAGAGGTCAGGGGCTGAGGAAGAACCAGGTTCTGACACGGCTTTAAGAACAGATGACCAGATCATATGACCCAGAATATGAGACCCTCGCTCCTATGCCCACCTGCGTCATAAGCTTTTTTTTTTTTTTTTTTTTTTTACGATTTTATTTTTAAGTAATCTCTATACAAAACGTGGGGTTTGGATTCACAACCCTGAGATCCAGAATCACAAGCCCCACAGACTGAGCCAGCCAGGCGTCCCAGTCAAGAACTGTTGAGCACTAACCGAATCTACTTTTGATTTACCAAAGGAGGACCTACATTTCATGGCTAGATTTTTAGTCCACTGCAACATCCATCTTCTATCTCCATTAAAAACTTTTTTTAAAGTTGTTTTTTTTTTTTTTAAGATTTTATTTATTTATTTGACAGAGAGAGAGAGTGCACATAAGCAGAAGGAACGGGAGAGGGAGAAGAAGGGAGACTGGTGTGGGGCTCGATCCCACCCAAGCTGAAGGCAGAGGCTTAACTAACTGAGCCACCCAGGTGCCCCTCCATTAAGAATTCTTAACTGGAAGGGGCACCTGAGTGGCTCAAGTTGTGAAACGTCTGCTTTTGGCTCAGGTCATGATTCCTGGGCTCGAGCCCTGTGTTGGGCTCTCTGCTCAGCAGGAAGCCTGCTTCTCCCTCTCCCACGCCCCCTGCTTGTGTTCCCTCTCTCGCTGTGTCTCTGTCAAGTAAATAAATAAAATCTTTAAAAACAAAGCAAAACAAAACTTTTAATTGTGAAAGCACAGTTTCCAAATATGAAAACTGTATACAAGAAAATAAAATTATATTTAAAAAAATGACATGGGAGCTGCACAAATTACAGTAATTGAATAAAACAAAATATTTTTCAAAATAGGTCTTCTAAAATATATTTATATATTTAAGCAAGGGTATAATATAAGCCAAGGTCTGAGGAAGAAACATTAAAAAACAAACATACAAAAAAAGGAAAGAGAAAAAAAAGAAGAAGCAAGAGGACAAGGTTTCTCAATCCCCATATCCACTAAAATGGAGAGGACAAGCAGAGAAACAGAAAGAGTTCTGGGTCCATCCTCCCTCAGGGCCTCTCTGGCTCCCTCGTTAGTACCTGATGAAGCAGAAACGTCCCCTGGCAGGGCAAGCCTGCTGTGTGGTCGACCACAGCTGGGATGTACCTGTAAAACAGAAACACACAAGAAAACAGTTAAACGGGATGCCGGTGCTGAGGGTCACCTCACCTGCAAGTCCCTCCCTGTCGCTACAGCCCCTGTGGTCTCTGTCTCCCTTGTCTTCCACACCATCTGGGCACTTCATCACACAATCGTTTGCATTTAATGAACCCTGTCACTTATCCACACCACAGCACCCTCACGAGACTGAAGAGCTCCCTACACAGTAACATCCTTCGGCTCCATCCCAGCCGTTTGCCTAACAGTCCACAAATAAATGTACAACTGCAACAGTAAGTGTCAGCAGGGAAGAAAGGGATTGTTTCGGATTTTGGGCAGTTTTTAAGAATCAGAAAGCAATGAACTCAGTAGACACTCTTACCGCGAGTATGTCTCTCTCATAATGCGAGTTATAATCACATTATAGATCTGTCTATGGAAAGCACAATTTCTTAAAGCAACTTCACTACTGACAGTTAAATACAGTACTGATACAGCCATACTCTCTCACAGAGCAGGAACTCAAAAAATGTTCCACGGAGATGATCATGAGGGCGGTACTAAGCATTATCCTCAGGATAACATTTATTCCCCACCCTTTCCATGAACCGATACAGCCCCTGGCCTCTGTTTCGGAATGGGGATCTATTTTATGTGTTTTTCCAAGAGCATTTTAGAGACAACTATGAGTAACAATCACATTCTCCTCTCACTCTAACACAGCTCACACAGAGGAAGGAAGCTCATGTTGATTATTGTGATCTAGGTCAGCAGTCCTCAGCTGGAGGTGATGTGGAATGTTTGAAGACATTTGTGGCTGTCACGCTGGAGGGGCGGTGCTACGAGCATCTTGTGGGTAGAGGCCAGGGATGTAGTTCAATATCCCACAGTGCACAGGACAGCTCCGGATAAAGGGTCATCCAGCCCAAAACAGGGCCGAGGTTGAGAAACCCTGGTGTAAAGAAACGTTCTGCCCTTGGTCCTCTCACTGACGTGATTAAGGTTAAAGTCCTGACTATATTCTGTGTAACATGCTTCTGACTCCCTTTGCTTTGCTGCTGACAGAATCCGCTCTGTAAGTTTTCTTTCCTTGTACAAAGTGCCAGTCTCCGTGTTCTTGCTGTTGCTAGTAAGAAGGCAAATTATTACTCTGGACAGTCACTTCTTTGACCGACATCTAATTAAAAAAATAATACCAACACCACCACAAATTCAATTCAAAACTGGAATTCAAAAGTGACAATGAGTCTTTAACCTGAATATGAAGAGACTCCAAATTACGTTTTCTAACTTTGAAAAACCTAGGCTTTGTTTAAAAGTTTATAAAGTTGGACTTACTCTCCTGTAGGCTCCAGTTCACTGATCTCAAACCAAACCAGAAGATCGTACTTGCTCATGCTCTGGCCAAGGCTGGTTTTGCTCATGGTGTTTAATTTGGTGGCTGGAACTTGTAAAAGTTTTTAGAAAAATGTCAAAATATGGTCCAAGTCTACTTAGTAAAAGCCTAAGTTCTTTAAGGACACACTCAGGAAAGGTAACAAGAGTCAGGGTGAGATTTAAATGTAGATTAAATGAGGTTTAATCTGTAGACCCAGATAAACATCACCATCAATGACATTAGTGCCTCTAAATTCAGAGAACTGGGAAAATGGAGAGTTGGTATCTCTCTCCCTCTCAGCAAACAGTATCTGTTGACAAGAACACAGGTTTCGTGCAGAGTGAAAGTGCTCACGAAACCACTCAAAAACTTTCCTTAGACTCTCCTCTTCTGTGGCAGGCAGAGCAGGAAGTGGTGTGGAATATGCAGTGTGGGCAGAGCCTCACACCTCACGGGGTCTCCTCAAAGCTGCAGCTCATGAGGGAAGACCCATGCTCCAGCCCAGGAGTTCCCAAACCGGCCTGCACGTGGGATCTTAAAGCAAAGCCCAGGCAATTACATGACGCAATGTCTATGGGCAGGACCCAGTCCTCTCAGAGGACTGAAATCCCTCCAGGGGATTCCAATGTGCACGTTCTCTGCTCAGACCCTGGGAGCACCGTGGGGAGAGTCCAGTGACTTGGGACCGACTACTATTCAGCCACTAACTACTAGGCGACTTCGGCTGAGTCACTGAATCTTTGGGAGTAAGTCTCCTCATCTACACGAAGCAGATTAGGGTATTAGCCCGCAATCTTGAAGAGGTATCGTGAGGACCCACTGACACAGGGTATCTAAAGGGGCCTTAGAACTCATACAGTCCTAGTCAAATGTTAGCCTATCTGCATGATTCACTCTGGCTGAATTCCACCTGAGCTGGTGCTGCTAGCCAAGAAAAAATCAGTGTCACTGACTCTGGTGGTCATCTGAGGGCCAAAAAGCAAAATCAGAAGCATTAAAAACACAAAAACAAAAAAACTATCTACTAGGAAAAATCTTTAAAACTGAAGAACCATTGCAAAGAACCCAAGTGAACAAACACAAGGGGACTCCGCCCCGCCCCTGCAGGTGAGGGGAAAGCAGCCCCATCAGAGAAGGTGCGTCCTCACATCCCTCCAAGGGAAGCGTATTCTTGACAATGCGCTAGACCCTAGGCCCGGTTCAGGCAGCAGCAGACAGCGATGTGTGTTTCCTACACAGAGAGCCAGGCTTTAGGATAAGCCCCTGAGCATGGTTCTACATCTACGGCAGAGCTAGGTCAGCTACTAACCATGTCGTTTGGGCGCCCTCTCACTCTGGCAGCCTGGAACTGGCAGAGAGAGAAAAGACGGCCCTGGGTCCGCCCCATCCTGGAAGGTGGCAACAGCGGAGGAAGCAAGCGCGTTGGCATGCTCAGAAAACGCGTCCAACACATGCACATTCACATAGTCAGCTATGAGAAACCGAACGAGTTCAATCTTTCTCTCATGGTCTGAAGGCAGGATGGAGAGCAGCAGTACAGAGGTGGTGAACAAGTACAGGGTGGGGGGGGAGGGTGGCAAGGGGGCAATGAGGAAAAAAGGATGAAAATAAAGAAAAAGCAAAACAAGATGAATGAACATGCAGAATACATTTGAGATGCAAAGAAATGCCCTGTCACCCACCAGTCAGGAGGAGTTACATATAAAGCAGATAGACTTAGGAACAGGGAGCTTATCAAAGTCCACAATAAGACCACCAGAAAGTTGGCAGGGAAGGAGCCCTATAGTGTCTTACTTATTTAAATCAGGAACCTAGAATTCCAGTTCCTGCTGGACACAGGAACATGTAAAGATACACAGGAGAGGAGCGGGCATGTAAAAATTATTTCTGTCTGAAAAGCGACCCGAATAAGAGCAGTGTCACCCAGAGAAGGGCTCACCTGGCTTGGAGAGTGGCATGGGTGGAGGGAAGAAGCGGCGAGATGGCTGAGGTGGGCTGCAAAGGAAGGAAACAAAGTTCAAGGCTGAGAAAGGGTCTCATGTGGACATTAACAGCAAGTTCAAATCTCCTCCACAAACAGATCATTTGCGCTTTCCGATGAAGCAGAGTATCAGGCACCAGACATAATCCCCACAGTGAAACAGAACCAGATATTTTAATAAAAGTCCCCTTGTGGGTCCCAGCTAATAAGTGAAATATGAGAACTTTCCTGTTAACGCTGACACTCTACGATCACCCAAAAGGCCCCATCATTGCTCTCATCACCTGTGACGTCTCCACTACAGCTCGTGCTTCCTAAAGCTCTGGGTAGTGAGGAATCCTTACACACAATCCTCGTGTTACGCCACCTCGCTTTCTATCTTGTTCAAAGTCTCTTCCTAGCACAGAGACGGTCCTCCAGGGCAGCCAGCAAACGTCAATGCGCTTCACCTATCATTAGTCATTCGGTGGCTTAGAAAAAAGGTGCTGATGTTTCTACAGAGGAAACATCGGGTAACACAGAAAATTGTTCTTCAATTATCTTAATCCCTTAAAAGATTTCTTCCTTCCCAGCAAGTGGCAGGATGAGTAACAGTAAGATCAACAAGAATCGTTGCTTATCTGGTTCATACCTGTTCAGCTCCTGTCCTTGCAGATGAAGCGGGTGCTGCTGATAATGCCCGAACACTTCAAATACTATCGGCTTGGTTTTGATATATTCCACAAACGATTCGGTGACCTCCACCGCAATCTAGTAAGGAATAAAGCCAAGCTAGATGAGGGAAAGATCTGCTGTAACACACACACAGAAAGTCAGCACTTCAGAGTAGCCAGGATGCGCTGGGTATCGACTCTGCAGGCCTCCCGTACCAAGACAGGGGCTCCTCCCTGGTTCTCATTACTCTACCGAGCTCCAGGCCTTCAAGACCCTCCGTCATCTGACACACCTGCTGCCCTTCACACACCTGCTGTTTTGGTTCAAACTCACGGGCTGTTCCTCCTGCCTGAGCTTCGCTCCTTGGGATGCCTGAGGACTTACCCAGGCTACGGCTCTGCCTGGAAGGCCTGCCCCTATCTCAGTGCCTTTAAGTCATTCCTACATTCAAGGCCCAGATTTAATAGTAACAACAGTGAGAAAAACATGACTGTTGACCAGGCACCAGGTACAATACCGAGTCTGACTCACCTTTTCTTATTACACTATATCCTTTGGGAAATTCCCCACCTCCTTTCTCCACCCAACATAACTTTAAAGTATCTTCCCATTAACGGAAATGACCCTGCCTTCTTTCTACTCCCTTTGCATTTCAGGAATACTTTTCTATGATCGCGTGCTACTGCTGTTTAAATATTCATTCGATTTCCCCTAAGCTCTTTGGGGCATAATCCTCTGTGATTCATCCTTACTCCCCAGCCGTGTCAGGCACAGTCCTTGTGCACACTAGCCCAATGAATATTTATGAGATATGCGCATGCTTATATTCATGCAATTAAACCTAAAAAAGAAAACAGTGTGTTTTGTGTTTGCTGTTCCATTTTCAGCGTTGTCCTTCCTGCTCCTACCGTTAGCAAGAGAAGGAGAGCGTGTCATGTCGTAGTGATGACCCTGAACACCAGGACCACACTGCTCGGCTTCAACCCCAGCTCCGCCTCTTCCTAGCTCGGTCCCCCTCGTGTGTGACCTTAACTGCTCTGTGCCTGTCATCTCAGCAGTTATATGGGGCTTATGAGGGTCTACAGTATAAAGGTAAGGATTAAATGAATGAAGACACAAAAAAGGCCTTTGGAACAGTAACTGAGATGAAATAAGAGCTCAGAGAACGTCAGCTATCGTGATGAGGCTGCAGACTTTGAATCGAGTGTGGGCGACCCTTCCTAGATGAGACGGAATGCCTGCTGTCTTACTCTACAAACGACAGCTCTAAGGGCACTAATGGATTCATCATATGATCAGCTGCAAGGAAAAGAGACTGCATCTTAATTTATCTACAAAAGATAATTTAATTTTCCCTCATCTGAGCAATCTAAGTGTCTTATAGTTTAAAGGACAATATGTTAATTTAAACAAAACTCATATTAAATCCACTCATTTTTCTAGGAAGGAAACACTAAAAACAACTCACTACATTCCTACTGATGGAACATTTTTATGGGCAGCCCAACCCCCACACACTCCCGGGGCCCACTGTAACTCGAGAAGGCTGGCCACTCCGACCACGGAGGATTACCTCATCGCTCTGGCCACTCCCTCTATTGTCTATTCTCACCACCACGCAGCTTGGATAATCCTCCTTCCAGGGCTGCGAAAGACAAAGGCCACCCACACAGGTCGACTGCCTAACACCGCATCTCAGACAGCCCCCAGACCTGCAATTCTTCTGGCAAAAACGTCCATGGCACTTACGTTCTGCACGTGATAGAAGCCCAGAGGACTTCCTCTGCCGTTGTTTTTGAGGGGTTCAGTGGAGAATGCTTCATCATGACGATGCAAAAAGCTTAATAAAAAAAACAGGACACATGAACTTCAAATTACAGTTTCATCAAGATCTATGTTTTAAGAACCTGACTTGGAGGGGTGCTTGGGTGGCTCAGCTGGTTAAAACATCCGACTCTTGATTTCAGCTCAGGTCATGATCAGGTTGTGAGATGGAGCCCTGACCTGGGAGGGGAACCTGCTTAAGATTCTCTCTTTCTCTCCCTCTGCCCCCTCCGACTACCTCCCTCTTTAAAAAAAAAAAAAAAAAAAAAAAAGAACCTGACTTGGATCCTCTGGAAAAAAGTAGCCTACTTAGGCAGAGTCTTTAACTGAACCAAGTAATTCGTAGTTCCTTGTGATATATATTTTCCATTATCACTCAGACAACATTTTAGATTTTATTTCAAAAATGACTGAAAGATTAACTGACCCTGACCACTTAGCTCTGTGGACACACATGCAAGAATATCTCGAAAGCATCAAGAGTGAATTCAGTGACTTCCTGTTTCTTTGTAGGAACATTATTTTTACTGAGAATAGAAATTATTGAAATCATTCTGTGCAGAAAAGATCTGGCAGATTCAAGCTTCCATAAAGTAGTACTAAAGCCTGTGTTTAGTGTTCTTGCCTAGGACAGTTTCTGATGACCTGCGAAGATTAAATTTAAACGTCACCTCTTCCAGTAAGTCTTCCCTGACTCACCCGAACAGCTGTGTCTTCCCACAGTACTAGGGACCCATTTTCCTTCGGTAGCAATGGTTTCACTCTTTGTAATAATATGTTTACATGCCTGTGTCCCCAAAAGATAGTGAGTATCTCCTTAGTGCTCCAGATATAGAAGATACTCCTGAAATATTTGTGAAGCAATAGACTATGTTTATTTATGCTCACAGATAGTGGGGTTTTACTTCTCTCTCCCTATTAGTCTGAAATAAACAGAAGTAGAATTAAAGAATACTGAATACAAAGATTTACTCTGACCAAGCCATCCAGGTACCCCTCCCCTTGTACTTCTTCTTTTTTTTCCCTTCCAATTTTTTCCCTCTCCAGATCATAAGCTCTATGTGCCAGGGGCATTACTTGATTTGGGATCTACACTCCTCCAGTGCTCTGCTTAGAGCAGGGACAAATATCCTGGGGTTCCACACTGGTGATGCCTGAAATCATTCATATTGCTCGACAGCTGTATCTTCTCTATACAGGCCAGATGAGAGTCTGTAAAAGCTCAAGAAGAATGTGAGCCTTCTTTCAACAGGAGTCAACACTCCCTCTCATCCAGAGCTGACACCAGGTGGAGAGGCTACTCTCGTGCTGGAGACTTTAGGACAAAAAGATCAACATGACATTACTGGCATTTCAGATGCCAGTTAACCAAGTAGGTCTTTTCCATAAAATATTTCAGTTGTGGGTGCGTGGGTGGCTCAGTCAGTTAAGCATCTGCCTTTGGCTCAGGTCATGATCTTGGGGTCTTGGGCTTGAGTCCCAGGTTAGGGGCTCAGAGGGGAGTCTGCTTCTCCCGTTTCCCCTGTTCATTCCCTAGCTCTCAAATTAATAAAATCTTAAAAAAAAAAAAATCAGTTGCCTAACTAGTGTAATAATGAAAGCTCAAAGCAACAGGGTCATCTAGCTAAGTCCACCCCCATGTTAATTTCGGGCTGCTAGTGAAAACACACCGACAGGGCACAATCAACACTCGATAGGTAATACGTCAACAACAACTGTGAGTTCTAGCAAACAATATCAGTGGCTTACTATGCAGTAATCACATCTGGTTTGCGGCTATAATCTCCATAAAGGCAGTGCTTTGTCAACTGTATGAGGACGCCTGATGTGCAGAGAGGCACATGCTGAAGGACAGGGATGGCGGAACTCTCGAGGAGCCTCCTGGTGGCGCCAGGGGCCAACTGCGGACTTGGACTGAGTCGAGGGAGAGCGCACTCTCTTGTACTGTGGCCCTTCCTCAGTAATGAAAAAACATACTGATGTCCGGAGGTATTAAAAGTTAACACTGTCAAAAGAGTGTTTTCCAAGGAGTGTTATGAGAAGAAAAACTCCAGAGGATTATAGGATAGAGTTTGTAAGTAGCTAAGGAATGAAACTAGTCACATCTCTACAAAGTAGTTATTTTTCAGTTGACGTAGAATTTACTGTCATTTGCATGGTTTTTTTCCTCCAGGTATTGAACAGGCGTAACTGGTGGCTGGATAATTCATGGCCTTCAGACTTGTTTATTAATAAGATATTTCCCCATGAAGAGCATTAAAAAGATTTTGATTAAACAGGCTTATCTACATCAGATCCTGTATTTCCAGCAGAGGGGGGACAGGCCACCGTGGAACCCTCTTAGCAGGATGCACGGTCACACCCCTCCTCACAGCAAACTCGAGTTCATTCCATTTTAGGTTTCTGGTTCTTACTGCCCCCTGGAGTGAAGAAAGCTGTTTTATTTCAGACACTGGTAGTTGTTTCCCACTTGAGAGTATTAACACCTCACATAGGGGAAAAAAACAAGAACAAAAACAAAAAAACACCTCGCATATGTAGAGTGAAGCACTGGGTGGTACACAAAGGATGTCACCTGGGTCACCAGCGAGGCAGGCAGGCAGGCAGAGGGGGGCTTACTTGAACTGACAGAAGATATCCGCATACTCCGGGAGGATCCCGCTGGCCTGCAGCACAGTTACTCGGAAAGTGAAGGCGCTGCCCAGTTTCAGGTGGTGGCCGATCTCTTCAGAAAACCCTTCCATGACCATCTTACCATCCAGCAAAGTGCCCGACTTCAAATCTAGAAAGGGTCAAATGAACACACATATGGTTCAAATATGGCACAGACCCCTCTCAAAGAGGGGAGAGGAGGGCATGCTTTCCATTCCTAGTCGACGAAAGCAACGATCTCCCTTGATGATGGTCAGTATCTTGCCCTCTTTGAGAATGTCCCCAGTCCCAGTAACCTCTGTCTACGTACCCAAGTCATTCATTCGATTGATTTCTTCCGGAGGAGTGGTGACCTCAGAACTCTGACCCTGTCCTTCTACAATCCTCAGTTCCTCCAAGGACAGACCAGAACGAGTCATTGCAACTGAAGAAAAGTCATTCTGAAAACAAGGCAGGAGCAGGGAGCTGGTCAAGCAGCACGACAGCGTATTTCCCCCAACCTCCTTACTCGTGTCTATTTGCCCCAAAAGTAACAATGGCTGGAAAAGTATGTGGATTAAGAGCTGCCTGAGAAAAGGTAATAAAACAGAATTAGTGTCATAGTGTCTTTGCCTCTGTAATTGTTAGACATGTCCTGTGTTCATGCAACAAGCCCGTGGTCACCTGTCTTCGGCAGCTCTGGCCAGAAGGCCTGTTTTCTAGTGAGCATCCTCCCTTATTACAAACCGGTCTCCTGCTTTTCCTTCTCTGAGTTTTTCCCTCCCTGGAAGGGTTCTCACCTGATTAAAGTACTCGTTATCAAAAGATATTTTAGCTGTTCCTGACTGTCGAATCCCAGAACCATAATCAGGAGCTTCTTCATCCGCTAAGTAGGAAACACAACAACAAAAAAGAGAAGGATCAAATGAGTCTACGATGGGGCCAGAGGAATGGCTCTTGTTGGATTATAAAATAAACAGGCAAGTGGTGGAGGCTTCTAGCTCGAAGACTTTCGTAAGAGGAGATGCTGAAGAACGAGCTTTTGCTTAAGAAAGGAAGAGCCGGAAGCAGTGAAGCCACAGGGGCTGATTCCAACTCTATGTAGAGGTGTATTTACCAACCTGCTCAGCTCAAATGAGACTATTTAATAAGGAATCAGTTTTATTCTTGATATTGTTCAAATGTCACACCTAGAAACACGGACTCTTCCCTTGGCAAGAGGACACGCAATACCACCTAACGAACAGCTGACGGTATGGGGCTGTGCTTGCACAAACTGGCATAGAGTTGACCCTGGTGACCGTGCCAAAGATTTCCACGGGCAAAAGCTGCGAGGCCACTCCACACCACAGGGCATCTGGAAATTATACGAAATGGCCACATTCTTTCCTCAGAATGTAGGCTGGATCATGGAGAAGTGTAAAACAGCAGAATCTTGATCCATAAACAACAAAGCGGTAGTCCAAGGACGGAAATGGCTGGTACAAGTACCGTGAGAGAAAATTATGCAAGAAAAAGGTCCTGGATATCCTTTGTTACTTCTGAAGCAGTTTTAGAAATTACTTTTATAAAAGTTGTTCTTTTTTTTTTTTTTTAAAGATTTTATTTATTTATTTGACAGAGATCACAAGTAGGCAGAGAGGCAGGCAGAGAGAGAGAGGAGGAAGCAGGCTCCCTGCTGAGCAGAGAGCCCGATGCAGGGCTCCATCCCAGGACCCTGGGATCATGACCTGAGCCCAAGGCAGAGGCTTAACCCACTGAGCCACCCAGGCGCCCCTAAAAGTTGTTCTTTATGTTAAAGGAATCCCTTCATCCCATTACTCCACAATAGCTGTGGCCCAGACTAACAGAATCTATTTATGATAACGGGGAAATGATAACTAAAAGGAAGCAATGAAAGCTTTCTCCGAGACAGACACGCCATCACGCAACTGAAGGGCGGCCCACACAGAACTGGTCTGCCTGGTCTCTGGGTGAAGAACCACAGCTCTCACGCGGGGGCAAGGTCACCTACCTGCAATGGCCTGCACGGCCACACGCAGAAACCCCCGCACTTCACCTTTCTCGCTGACGATGGCTACCCTGTGAATCAGGGGCACCGGGTACAGCAGGTTGCTCAGGTAAACAAATGCCCTAGAGACAGAAACCAGGAGACAAACATCTGAGCGCCCCGCAGGCAGAGAAGCTGGCTTTCAGATTCCCGAGAATATTCTCAGGGCTTCTAGGCCCTGTCTTAAGGTCACCTTTCTGTTCTGTACTACCAGACTGCCTCCCGTTGCTCTTCTGGCAGAGATAATACAGAAAGAAATGCAAACGCTTGGTAAAGCAGTGGACAAAGACCAACTTACACCAAATTACTCCTTACAAAAATGACAAGTTAAAAAAAAAAAGACTAGCCTAGGTAGAAGAGTAACAATTGGAAGTAGACTTTCAAGAGGACTGTCCTATGGATACTGCTAAGGTGGAGAAAAGGGAACCTACTGAAGAGCTTAACTTTTTAACATAAAGGTGTTTTGTTTTATTTCTCCCAAGAGATAAACCAGAAATTGGGAGACAAAAAAGGAAGGAAATGGGCCTGAAATACAGTTAATAACTCTAAAATAGATTTCAAGTCACAGCATTATGGAAATGCTCTAGGAAATGACTATTATTTTCAGGCAGGTGACTGACACATATGAGCAAAGAGGGTTTGTAGCCAGAAGTTTCTGAGGAGCAAGCTTAGAGGAGACTCTGGCTGGACACAGACGAATATGCAGGGAGAAAAAGAGAGCTCATCCGTAAAGGATTGCTTTTGTTCCTGGAGTCCAAAACTTAACTCAGAAATGGAAACAAGAAAGGAAGGTTATAGACCTAAAATCGTCTTTTTCAAACAAACCAGCAGAGTCCCATCGCATTTGTACTCTTTTTACTTCATTATTTTGTATCTATTGATTTTTTTTTAACAATAAAAATGTGATTACAAGTTCATTTCAATTAGTGGATGTGATACGGAATCTAGTTCCTACTGTTACTCTTGTCTTCCCACCGGGTATATGATCTTTGAACACAAAGCAAGACAGAGAGTAAACATTTGCACCAAGAAATCAAACATAACCGAACGTGACACGTATGCCTGTCTGCTTCTTCTCCTGCTCTGAGTCTGCATTAGAACAGAGAAATGGGAGATGGAGTGGATTTGTGGGATTTCAACTCAAAGTAATGAAAAAAATTACTGAAAACAGACAAAGTACACCACGGAAAAAGACATGTTAATAAAACTTAAAGAGCATGAAAATGAAATGTGAATGAAAACTGTAACAAAAACAACTGTAAGTAAAACACTGAATCAGATCAAATGAAGTCTACTTCCCTTTCAGTCTGCTCCAAAGGTGGGGAAGGAAATACTAAGAAACAGAGGGTTAAAGCTATGTTGTATAAAATTTTAAAAATGGAAAGTCTTCTAAAAAGGATTAAAATAAGACTCTCAAGTATTAGCTACTGTGACAGAAGTTAAAGACGAAGAATTTGGCCTATGGTACCAAATGGACGGCTTCCCTTTCCCCATCAGCACCATACAGACCACCTTCAGCTCTTCATGATTCCAGCCCACCTGCTCGCTCTCAGTGCCTCGGCGGGGCAGAGTCACCGCACGTACCTGTCCCCGGCGTGGAGCCCACCCTGAACTCTACTGCCCACCTCACGCCTTTGATTTCACAACTGCAGGTCAGGTCTTACTCTGAACATATGCTCATGACAGGCTCCCCCAGCGCTAAGTGATCTCAGTAACACACATGACTCCATCATTGCTATGATTTACATCTATATGACTGTTTGTCTGTCTCAACCACCAGTCTGCAAACCTGGGAGAGCAGGATTCACGTTTGATTTTGCTTACCGCTGTCTACAGAGGGTCTGGCATATTTATTAAGTACACTCAACATCCAATCAACATGATTGAGCGTCTATGTACATGACTTGTCCTCTATCTTTAATCAGAAGTGGACCATTTTCCAGAAAAATGGGTTACACCAGAGGTTGATTTTTCAAAGATATACTCAAGATAGATATTAACTATAGAGAACATGTTTAGGTTCCTAACTCTACTTAATTTGTATAGTTGTTTTTATACTTATGCCAGGAATGCCTGTTTCTAATTTTCAAAAAGCTTCCCATTGAAGGCACTGCATATCGTGTTCATACACGCATTACAACAAAGTACTGTCTGACCACACACTTAGGCAAAAATCCCCTTTTCACCTATGGCAATGGTTATTCCAAAGGTGAAAGGACAGAAAGTATTCTTGTGTATTTCCCGTTTTAGAAAAGAGACTTCCGTGATTCTCTGGCAGTGGCAGGCGCACTGGCACAGGGGCTACACAACCGCATGGTCACTTGCCAGCTCTCCCTGTATTATTATCGGAAGACTGTCCTTTGCCCAAGGTCAATGCCGTAGAAGTTCTCCTCTGAAGTTTTTTAAGCTGGAATTTTTATAAATACTCTGCATTCTTGAGAGTCCTTATACTTTGACCTAGCAGACTGAAGGAGAACAGAAATGAGAGAGGGGAAGATGTAAAGGGTATATTAGCATAAGTTCTGTGAAGTTACATCGAAAAGGGAAACTAATTTGGTCAACAGAAAGACAAATCAGTGTAATTATGGTTCTAGTTACAGAACACAATGTCAGTTCAGACTTAGGTGTCAGAATAACCATCTTTTGCCCCCTTTTAACCCAGCTTAACTATTTTACATTTCATCCCAAATTATGATGGATGGTTCATAACATCCCAGCATGCCATAAGAGAATAGCTAAAGGGACAAGCTCTTTTCATTTTCATACAAAAATTCGCCAGAGGCAGCCAAGGCCAAGAAACAAAACCTACAAATGGAATTTCACAAGGAAGTGGAAAATTTTACAAGCGAATTGTATTTGCAATTATGCGCCAATATGGGAAGTCCAATCCTGTGAATCACAAAAACAGGAAAGAAGTTACTTCTCATACGGACAATGACCACTACATATCTGGGTGAAGTTGCATAGTTATCAGTTTTGATTGTAGATGAGAAACGAAGTCAAGGGTGAAAAGTAAAGAGCTATCCCCCACTTGACTGATGGCCACAATTTCACCCCTTCCACTAACATCCTCCTCACAAGTTAAAGTTAGCTGTAGAACCTGGGAAGCCAAACATATGGAAATTACTTGAAAATCAAAGCAGAGCTGATTGCTTTATACCTATACTTAAATCTGATATGATTAAAACAGTAGAGAAAATAATGCATACATTTAAGCCAGTGAATGTCCATATTAAGTGGGATTCTGACCCAAGTTCTCCACACAAGCGACTCCAAATACAAAGGCTTCGGAGAACTCTTCACCAGGATAGTCACTTGGTTAGTGCGGATGACAGAATCGAAAAGATAAAGATCTTTAAGGCTCTCCGTTTTCCTACCTAACTCCTCACTTGTACTTGCGAACCCGACAGGCCTCGGTTTCAGTGAAGCCGACGTGCGGCCTCAAACATCTCCTAGGGTCAGGGCTCTTCACGATGTGCCGCGTGAGATGAAGCTCCACGTTCCTCCCTGTGTGACAGTGCACAACGAGCAGCTGCGCAGCTGGCACCAGGACAAGCAGTTTAGGGACAGAAACTCAGTTCTAACTCCCAACCCTTTTAGAACGCACAAAGCCATAATATAAGAAAAAGCTCTATGGTCCCATTATTGGTACACAGAACCACTGCTCTCAGTTTTAATATAAATCAGCTTCTCTGAAATTCTAGGCATCTATTTCTGGCAATACACCGGCAGAAAACAACATTCACGGCTGCACAATCCCTTAATGCTTATGCACGGAAAACCTGAATAGATGCTGCTCCGCTATCATAAACTCCCAAGACTGTCTAGTATTACATCACAAGCCCTGGTCACAGTTGAGGCTTTCGTGTCTACCAGCAAGCTTGTCCTGCCCCCTGTCCAGCTCAGTGACTGTACACCCCAGTAGTTATATTTAGTCCTTGCCAGGCGACCAACATCACACCATGAGCTCAGTGTGAGACTTACCTCCCTACTGGCTCAAGACATGTGCTGCGCTTTAATTTTTGGAGAACTGGCGTAATTCCCTATTTTTAAAGCATTCAGCAACATGTGGCCCTAATGAACTATTAAGATTCAATTTCATACCTTAAAACCTGCACACACTTTTTGTGAATCCAGCGAGTGCTGCAGTGCTGAATTTGTAATAAAATTACCTCAGCATGAAGACTGGGTGTAGACAAAGACCTCAGTATGAGGGGCATAGGAGAAGAGCTCTGTGTCACTGACAGATGGAATCTGAGACAAGGCCTCAGTTTGGAAAACTGAACTTAACACAGAGCAGTTTCATGCAGTGCTGAACAAATATCCATTGTTGGTGGTGTCAACAGATAATTTCATGAGCTTCATCATTATAAAACCTATAGGTAAAATTTTGGCAGAAGCCAAAGATCTACAGATAGGTTCACTGAAACTGGCTAAAGAAAGGCATCCATTTCAGACAAAAGGAAACTTCATGTTCCTGATTCTTTTTCTGACTCAAAGTAGGTAAAAAATAAACCCAAAACACTCCTATTTATTTACTTTTTAAGATTTTTAAGTAATCTCTACATCCAACTTGGGGCTCAAACTCACAACCCTGAGATCAAGAGTTGTACACTCTACTGACAGAGCCAGCCAGGCGCCCCTACCTATTTATTTATTTATTTATTTATTTAGATTTTATTTTTAAGTGACCCAACACTACTCCTGATTCTACTTTTATCCTCTTGATTCCTGCCAGTGTTATACATCCTTTGTTTCAACCTTGGCCTTGCTCTGCTCTCCTTCTCATGTCATCCCCTCCTCTGCTTCTTCACTCACATTCCTACAAAAAGGAAGCATCACAACATAGGAACATTCTTTGACCTTGTAACACTAGACTCAGCTCTAATTACTTTCTCCTCTGGGGTTTTCCCCTTCAGAGGGAAAGTACTGGGGAGTTTAAGACAAGGGGTCCTCCACAGAGAGCCTTCACACACTGCCGTAGGCTGTACCGAGCAAATACTGACTACCCCACAGACACGGCCTGAGGGCTCTCCCCACCAGATTGGCATGTCACAAATGGAATCTGCTAAGGAACATCATCCCGAATTGCACAAGGAGCCTCTTTAAAGCAAGAGCTGGTCCCTTTTTGCCCTTCTCACAATAACCTCACCAACCTTCCCACTAAAATGAACCATGGGGATCGGTCGTAAAACGGGTCATGCCCGTCACTGAAGAGATCTGATCCCTCCTCCGTCCCTGCGTCAGAGCCGGTGTCATCCACGAATGCCTCATCATCAAAATCCTCCATTTCATCTTGCTGTTCGTCAGCCAGCTCAGTGATGTCGGAATCGGCCGTGGAAAAAGTGGGGGAGGGTGTGCGGTCAGCAAGGCGCTCATTCACACAGCCGTGGAAAATGGGGGAGCTAGACACCAGGGAAGACGCCAGGGGACACAGCCAAGGAAGGAGAGAGGAACAGTTGGTTAAACAGGAAGCTATAGATGTCAACAGGACAGAACCCACTGGGGAATCAACACAATAAAAGCAAGTGGAAAAGCAAAAGGATAAAATGAGCTTAAATCATCTGGTTCAGGTGAAAGGGAACAAGGACTGGTCCTTAGAATAAGAAAAGCAAAGGAAATACATGAGTGGAAGATCCCAGGTAAAATGTGTGCTGCAAAAATGCTTGTATTTTCCAGTTCACACAAAAGATTAGCAGCCAAGCCTCAAAGGAGCCACTCAACATTTGGTCAAATAAAAAAAGTACAGATCTTTATTCCAACTCGACGTCATCTCGGAGCAGAAAACAAAATGGATGGAGTGGTGTACGGAAAAGCCAGTACGGGCCTTGCTTGGATAAAACGTGTTTGGCCAATTCAACACTTCAGAAACACTCTACTAACAGAGTGGAATGGAAGAGATTCAACTTCATTTCTACAAAATACTACGACTTCAGCTCCTTCTTTTGGCCTAGTTCCTGTAAAACTGTCAGAAAATTTTTGCAGTTGAAAAACAATTCAATTTCCGAAATCATTAAGCTCAGAACATATGACATTACATTTCTGCTTTTTAAATTCTAAACCTCTAAGAACTTGGACTCCGTATGGATGCACAGGGCACTACTTGTTTTCATTACACGTTGAAATGTATGTATGCACAGAAGAGGCTCAGGCAGATGACCAAGATCTGCAGCTGACTCACCCACGGCAAAGACTAACAGGAGATAAACTGCCTTTAAAAAAAAAAAAAAAAAAGAGGACACGTCGGAACAAGCAGTTAGTTGCCAGCTGTAAGCTGTAAGTCATACTGATTTTAAACTGTGCAGGATATAGATACAGGTTTTCTTTTTCTTGCAAATCTCTGCTCTTCAACTGTAAGAGGCAGGGAAGGCTGTCAATTACTCTGGATCAAAGACGAGCCTGAAGGACGCACACTGAAGAAAGCGTAGGCAAGTTTACCGCATGACCCGGTGGCTGGGTCTGAGTGGGTAAGATTATACGTGGAGCATTTGTGCACACGTTTTCTTTTAACTTTCTATAATAGCTGCTGAGGTTTTAAGCAAATCACTCACTATTTAAAAAGAAGACACTGATGAAATCATCACATACCTTCCGACCAGTTTGAACCAATGGAACCGATCATAAAAGGGATCACTGCCGGTCACGGTGGCTTCGCTTTCATCCTGGCTGCCGGAGGCCACCTCACCTGCCCTGTCATACATCTCGCGCATCAAATCCAGCCTCTGCCTGCATAAACACAAAGTGCTCTGCTTAATATCATGAGACTGCATCAAAATTTCACTCTGGAAGTATCTTCCATGCAAGATTAAAAAAAAAAAAAAAAAAAGCTGTTCCCATCATTTAATGATATTAGAAAAGAATGAAGGCCCAAAGTAGAGAAACTCACAACGCTCAGTATTCAGTGTCTGAGTCTAGAGACAAGCCACCAAAGTAAAAATTGGCCACCTAACCGCTACTGAATCTTAAGAGAAATGTAGTTCAGTGGTATATGACATATCAAATATAATGTACAGTGGAAAATATCTCGCCATGCTAAAGGCAAAGGAAACCATATTGTAACTTTACTGTTTATTACCGATTACCAGATCCAGAACAGAAAAGATAAATGATTACCAGATCCAAGGCAGAACTAGGTATCATGAGATTGAAACATTTAAAGTGTAAGAGGGTCTACGGGGGGCAGATCTAAATCTGATCTACAAGCGACAACAGAGTGGGATTCATTGATTTAGCAGAAGATGGATGGACGGTGGCAGCCCTGCAGAGCAACAGCATTCAGCACCGCAGAAAAGGAAGCAATAGTGCCATCACACAGCAGAGAGTCTGAGGGAGCCCACCCAAGCAATTTATTATTATTTCCTAAATAAAACAACTGATTTTATGAGGAATTTTTCATACTTGAGTTTCTCCAAAGACCAATAATGCGTTGCTCCATTCTTCAGATCCTGGACCTCTACAGCCACCACAGTACGAGGGAAAGGCCTGTCTTCATGAGTTTTCTCCATCTCAGTGGGAAGTAATTCCGGAGGCAAAGGGGAGTACAATGTGTCCGTCAGCAGGACAAACTGGAACTGCACCTATGTGGAAAGAAGAAACCATCCCAATGGCCTTTATGTTTTCAGCAAGTCAGCCTCGGAAATGAGGCGATAGAATCCTACTCCACGGGAAAGAGGTCAAACGTGTAGTATGTGCTCAGTGAACAGCCTGTGCTTAACTGGGGAAAAATGGCCACGTGTGTATCAGCTGTAGAGAACCATCCTAATTTCAAATTAAGCTTTTTACAGACTTTGCTCTCCTCGCCCAGAACAGTGTTTTTACACAAACTAAAATCTCAGTCCCTATATTTTGGTTGATGGAACTCACATAAGAGAACAAAAGCTGGACCCGCGAGGACATCTCTAGCTTCTCACTGAGTCGTGGGCAGGGGGGGGGGGGGGGGAGAGGGTGGTGCTAGAGCAATGTCACAGCTGGTTTTCCATCCTAAACTCAAGAAGCACAGGTGCTACTCTTAGAAGTGCTTACTACGTGGAAAGTGCTTTGCGTGCGCCGTGTCATTTATGTCTTGCTACCGCCCTGTATTGTCACCTACGAGTATCATGTAAATGCCAGATACACCAGCAAGAAGGAAAGACAGAGTCTCCGGCCTGTACTTCGTCTGCTCGGAGAGAGGGGTAAATACGTGCAAAATGAAATGGGCTGGTGAGACCGAATGAAGGTGTCCTCCCCTGTTGTGCAGCGCTAGAATACAGCCCGAGGGAAAGGGAATGACTCTCCCAAGGCGGAGCCCCCGGTGCTCTTTCCTGCCACGTGACACTGCCCACTGACTCCGCTGTCATCCTAGTAGTCCCCATTCAGCCGTGGGACAGGGAGAAGAAGCAAATCTAAGACGTGGTGTGACGTTCTGGTAATAAGGAAAAGCAGCAACATCTATTGCCTTTTCAAGTCTAAGAACTATTTCAACTCTTTACATCTACTCCTTCTTTCAGGCCTCACAGAACCCTAGGTGGCAGGGGCTGCTGCAAAGTTCCTCTTGAGGGAATGAGGGAATGGAGGCACAGGGCCGTTGGGGTCAATACAAAAACTGGAACTGGAGCCTGGCTGTTTGAGTGCAGAGGACCTGTCCCCTGTGTACACTGGCCTAGACCAGGAAGGGCACTTAGGACTTATAGGTGCAAATGTCATGGTTGAAAACTCCAAGAAAATTGAGATTTTTAGAAACCCAAGAATAGCATTCTCCTATTAATACGTCCCTCTAGCACATGGGGAACTGGGGTGGTTCAGTTGGTTGGGCATTTGCCTTCGGCTCAGGTCATGATCCCAGAGTACTGGGATCGAGCCCCACATCAGGCTCAGCAGGGGAGCCTGCTTTTGCCTCTCCTTCTGCCTCTGTCTCTGCTCGTGTGCTCTCTCTCTCACTCACTCTGTCTCTCAAATAAATAAAATCTTTAAAAAAAAAAAAAGTTTTGCTAGCTCTTGTTGGAATACAATCTCCTCATTTGTAAATAAGATGGAAAACAAGTTGTTTTAAAAATGTCATGTAGGGGCGCCTGGGTGGCTCAGTGGGTTAAGCCACTGCCTTCGGCTCAGGTCATGATCTCAGAGTCCTGGGATCAAGCCCCACATCAGGCTCTCTGCTCAGCGGGGAGCCTGCTTCCTCCTCTCTCTCTGCCTGCCTCTCTGCCTGCTTGTGATCTCTCTCTGTCAAATAAATAAATAAAATCTTTAAAAAAAAAATAAATAAAAATGTCATGTAATTGGGACGCCTGGGTGGCTCAGTCAGTTAAGTGTCTGCCTTTGGCTTGGGTCATGATTCCAGGGTCCTAGGATTGAGTCCTGTAACAGGCTCCCTGCTCACAAGTAACCTGCTTCTCCCTCTCCCTTTGCTGCTCCCCCTGCTTGGGCTCTCTCTCTCTCTCTCTGACAAATAAATAGATGAAATCTTTAAAAAAAAAAAAAAAGTCATGTAATAAATATTTAATGAGTACCTACTATGTTCCAGGCACATACGGTGAATAAAGGCATATATAACCCTGTTTCACAGCCAACAGCAGCTGAGTTCACCCAGGGGAAAGGCTAGTTCAAGATAAGAGCCACAACCCCCTGAGGGACATGTGCACCTCCAGATGACCCACGGGCTCCCGCCCTCCATACCTTCTTCTTCAGTTCCACACTGATGGCGTTGGCCTCCTTCAGGTAAACAGCATTGCCCCAGAGTAAGTCCCTTAATGAAGTAAACTGGTGAGACTTCCACTTCCGGAAGGCCCACTGGGCCAGCTCAAATTCATGCTGTGTCCAAGCAGCTGAAAAGAGCAAACGAAGCGTAACAAATGGTGATCTCATCACTACAGAGAAATTACACGTCTCCTCTACCTCATCTCTCTTATCAAGTTATGTGCCCATAGTTCTCCATTCAGCTGCTTTTGTTTTCTGCTTTTCAGTAAAGCTTACGAAATTCTGTTGATATTATGAAGGCAGTATATACATTTTAGAAAACCTAAAAAAAAAATTCTATTTAAAACAGTACATGAAAGATAGAGACTTCTCTTCCTTTTAAAAAAAGTATACATCTAATACGTGACTTATAATGAAGAAGAGCCCTATGACATACTATACAACTTCACATGCTAAGTATTTTTCTTGCTAGGACAAGAAATAAAAAGGTCATATTTTACTTCAATATTAAAAAGTAAAGAATTTAGTACATAAATTAGAGTTTCTCCAAAGTTAATCTGAAGCCTTGAGATTACTGGGAGGTTGGGTGGAGAAACAAACTGGGAGGAGAATTCATACTGCACCATACGGAAGTGACAAGCAATTAACGCCCCGATTCAGCTAAGAGATTCTGAAAAATTTACAGCAGGTAGGCATGACTAAGCAATAGGATTAGAAATCCGCCAGAAGTAGCTTTAATATACATTAATAATATAGTTCAAAGTCCTCTCTGGGTAATCCTGGGTGTAAATCATATGTCAGCAAATAAAAGAATATCTTACCAAAGATAAGGCCCTATATTTATCTGTAACATACACGAGCTTCACATGTACAGTAATTTGAGACAATATATGTAAACTGCCTAAGAGACTCCTATAAGGACCGAGCTAAGAAACCTTGTGTTCGATAGAACACAGTCAGCCCTTCTCCCACCTCAGAGAGCGCAGTCTGTGTTCTCAGCATTGAGGATCTTCTGAATCCCCTTTAACCTGGCTCGGTAAAACATCAGTAAGTGGTAGGGTTAACTATGATCAAATCCAGCTTTGATCATAGATGAAAGGCTAATCTGACGGCACAGATCCAAAAGCTACAGGGGGAAATTTTCATCTCTGGAGTTCACCTTCTTCCTCTTCTTCCTCCTCTTCTGTTGTCTCAGCAGCGAGGGAGCGGGTCTCAACCTGCTTCTGCAAGGCCTGCAACTTACTCTCATAGTCCTGGATGAAAAGAGAGGAGAGGACATGTAGGAGAGGGAGGAAGTGGACAGAGGGGAGGAGGAATGACAGCAGAGCTGGGGAAAGCAGAGAAAGCAAAAGATAAAAAAGGGAAGACAGAGGCAGGAAACAATAAAAAGACATACAGAGAAATACTTAGGAAAACCCCACAAAGTACACAAGATAGGCTGCTGTAAGGGGTCAATCCTGAAGAAAGCAAAATGCCATCTCTTTTTACGCCCTCGGACCTAAGAGTTCTTTATTTGGGGTTGAGGTCCAGCCAGGGGGTACTTTGAGCAGGAAAACATGTGGATCCCTTAAATTTATTTCCTAGTAGTATTTACGTAGAACCTTCACACATCAAGGAATTCCAGAAAAAAACAATACTGGAAAATTCACCAGTATCGCCAATAGTTCTGATTAGCTGTTTGGATGGGAACCACAGACTCTGAACTCTGCGGATGGAACACTGCTATTTTTGCAGTTGTAGGATGCAGGATACAGCCTTTAGGTAACCAAAAGATCACGGTGCTCTTCGGGCCAAAATAATGTATAGACTGTATTTAGCTATTCAGTAAAGATATTTTAAAATATACTATTATAATACAAAATGCATTATTGTAATACAAATCAGATGTACCCTTCAATTCTCCATCTACTCACTTGACACATTCTCAGTGGGGGTGGTATCACCCTGAAGAGGATAAAAATATGGTTCTTGAAGGATACAAAAATCTTACTCTTTTTATGCATAAAGCACAAATATATATATATATACATATATATATATATATACACATACACATACATACATACACAGTATTTAAAGAGATGTACTACACATCTGAGGTATTAAAATTTCATGGTGGGGAAAGATTAAGGAAAAAATATCTAAAAAGGTTCCTTGGAGCGGTAATTTTAAAAAGCTTGCATTATTTGAGAATAAATCAAGTAAAGGTTAAGAAAAGAGACCTTCCCATAATAAAATACCAAATGACAGCATAAGCACAGTAGTTTAAGATACACTGCCTAGGTTTCCTGCTTCCTTGGAGTGACCCAATTATAGACTGTCCTGGACAGAGGGATTGGGTATGGCCATGTACTGTTTTCAAACAGAGTTCTCCCTGCGTCATAAGTCAAATATTCGTTTTATTACAAAAGGACCACTGAAAGCCTCCTAGCAAACTCTATTATGAAAAGACTCCCAATGGCAACGCTAACTGAGAAGGATGCAAATATTCCTAAGGCTCATCATTTATCACTTAGTCTCACAGAGGAAGCTTTCTCTCTTTCATAGAGCTGGCTCTGAAGAGAAGCCAGCCACACAGCTTTATTAGCTACCGAAACACACTTTTTGGGAGACAATGCACTGCGGCAAAAATAAATAAATAAATTAATTAAAAGTTTTGCTCCTGGCACCTGCTCTTACTAGTCTTATAATTCTGGAAAGTTACATCCTCTCTACACTTAATTTTTGTCATCTTTAAAATGGACATTTTAGTATCTGACCTGCCCCACACACAAGACTGAAGGAAAAACCAAATGATGAACCATTTAAAAATGCATGTGAGGGCACCTGGGCAGCTCAGTGGGTTAAAGCATCTGCTTTCGGCTCAGGTGATGATGCCAGGGTCCCGGGATCGAGCCCCGCATCGGACTCTCTGTTCAGCAGGAAGCCTGCTTCCCCCGCCTCTGCCTGCCTCTCTGCCTACTTGTGATCTCTGTCAAATAAATAAATAAAATCTAAAAAAAAAAAAAATGCATGTGAAAGTCTTCTTAATTGTAATATACACTATCAAAGTGACAGGCCATGTTTTAAAAAGTTTATTTTCTGGGGTGCCTGCGTAGCTCAGTCGGTTAGGCATCTGACTTCGGTTCAGGTCATGATCTTGGGGTTTTGGGACCTAGCCCCACACGGGGCTCCGTGCTCAGCTGGGGAGTCTGCTTTCCCCTCTCCCTCTCCCACTGCCCCTCCCTTCATTCATGCTCTCATGCTCTCTTTCTCTCAAATAAATAAATAAAAATCTTAAAAATAAATAAAAAAATTTATTTTCTAAGTATACCCAGCACCCAGATCTTGGCTTCTAAATACTATTCTCCACTAAAAGGAAGCAAGGCTTCTTGGGAAAACAACTGATTCCAGGTTTGAAGCAAGGAAAGTACACGGTGAGCTCAGAATATCTTGTGCCAGAAAGCAGAGAAGTGCTCAAACCCTGATGGGTCCATTTCCAAAGGGCACCGAATCCCAGCGGCCAGTAAAGAAGAACAGTAGCAGAAACATAAGGGGCGCTTGGGTGGCTCAGTTGTCCGGCATCTGCCTTCAGCTCAGGTGGGATGGAGCCCTGCACTGAGCCCTGCACTGAGCCCTGCACTGAGCCCCGCACTGGGCTCCCTGCTCGGTGCGAAGCCTGCCTCTGCCTCTCCCACTCCCCCTGTTCCATCTCTCGCTGTGTCTTTCTCTGTCAAATAAATAAATAAAATCTTAAAAAAAAATGACAGCAACACGATACAGCACACTGGGTATTAAAAGGAATCCAGGCGTCCACAGTGCTGCTAAAAGAAGGGGGGAAACGGAGAAGCTCTTCTCTGCTCCCCTGCAGAAGCCAGCTACGAAGTAAACGCAGAGGAACGGCAATTAGAAAAACGACCTGCAACGCCGGACAGCACGACTGAATCCGGCAAAAATCACCCACACATGCTCGAGCAACTGGGGGAAAGCTGGATGCAGAACAGAAGAGCCACCCGATCCCGAGCACCGCCCTGGACGCCTGTTAATAAGACAAAGGAAGAGCTGGGAAACGTCACATTACATCTATAAACATTAGCATTACTGGTGAGGGGACAATTGAACATTTGGTCTGCTAACGTGACACGAGGGAAGTACACAGTGTCACCTTGACAGCTTTCTTATCTATCACACACGCTTGACCTAAATCTAATCTTGAGAAATAATCAGACTAATCAAAATGTAGCCTATTCAAAAATACCTAAAAAACCAAAGAGAAAAGAGACATCACGACCAACCGTAATATACAAACTGTGCTTGGAACTGGGATTAAAACTCACACGTGCTTCTCACCATTATTTTTCAGACAATAAGATAATTGGAAAATGGACTGTATATAATACTGAATCAGTACTAAGTTTCTCGGATAGGTTAATGATATTAAGAGAATATCCCTGGTTTTAGAAGATACACAGGGCAGTATTTTGGGGTAAGCTGTGTGATGTTTGCAACTTACTTTCAAATGAATCAGAAAAAATACATAATTATGGGTATACGAAGATTCATTATACTATGTTTTCAGCTTCTTGGTATGTTTGCAATATTTCAAAATAAAATGCTGGGGAAGGGGCACTTTTTTTTTCCCTTAGAAAAACCTGTATGTTCTATGGGATCCTTTCAAAAGAGAAAGATGACTGTTTACCTAAAAGTTCTCTGGTGGGAACCTAAAAGTCCTCTGGTCGGAAAATAGTTAATATTTTAGCTTTAAGATTTTTTTGTTTTTCATTTGCCCCCACTTTTTTTTTTTCAAGGATTTTATTTATTTACTTGACAGAGATCATAAGTAGGCAGAGAGCAAGGTAGAGAGAGAGAGGAGGAAGCAGGCTCCCTGCTGAGCAGAGAACCAACTCGGGGCTCAACCCCAGGACCCTGAGATCATGACCTGAGCCGAAGGCAGAGGCTTAACCCACTGAGCCACCCAGGCTTCTCCCCCAGTTTTTTATTATAGTAAAATGCATGAAACTTAAAATTTACCATCTGAACCATTTTCAAGTGCACAGTTCAGTGGTGTGAAATGCATTCACACTTTGGGCAACCATCACGACCATCCACCTCCAAAATTCTTTCCATCTTGCAGAACTCCATAACCACGGAACACTAACTCTCCATTTTCCCTTTCCCCCTCCCCCAGCAACTACCAGTCTATTTTCTATGATTTTAACTACTGTTAGTATCCCATATAAGTGGAGTCACATAATTTTAGCTTTTTAAAGATTTTATTTGAGAGAGAAAGAAAAAGATGAGCGGGGGCAGAGGGAGAGGGAGAAGCAGGCTCCCTGCTGAGCAAAGAGCCAACATGGGGCTCAATCCCAGGAGCCTGGGATCATTACCTGAGCCGAAGACAGATGCTTAACTGATGGAGCCACCCAGGCACCCTAACTTTAGCATTTAGTGACTAACTTATTTTTGAGGCTTTCTTCAAGAATCAGCTTACAACCTGGTCAAACTACCAATAAAAACAAAATCCTTTGATTCTGACAGTTAAGGTATGAAGATGACCCTCCCCTTAAAAGCTCTGGTTAAGCTTTAGTGGCAGCAAAGAGGACATGAAAAGGTTACCTGTAACACTATGGAGCTAGAATTTTAACTGCAGTTGACTTGGGAAAATTTCTATCAGCAGTTGACAATCCAAATATCAACATTAGACCCTGAACTGGCCCTCCTCTTCTCCAAACTAGGCTATATGTGAGCTTCCAACAAGGACATTTTGCAAGTCATCAGAAAAACTCTAAGTATTGGATTTTCCTTCAACAAATGGGTAAATAAACCTTAAACAAATGGGTAAATAAATAAATGGGTAAATAAATTTTCCTTCAACAAATGGGTGAATACTATTGTTCTGTTGATTTCTTGGTGGAAACTAGGATATAGAAAGCACACCAAATAATAATACATTTATCAGTAGTCTTTCGTGTTTGTAAGAAGTCCCAACTGCTTAGATATATCCCCACGTTTATAAGGGTACTACAGTGGCTGCTCCCACTTCTAGAACTTTTTCTCTCCTGCCCATCCTTGTTTTTAAGCTTATTTTGTGCCAGGAACTGTACTTAATGTTTTGTATAGATTATCTGAATCTTCCCAATAACCCTAGGAAGATGGTACTACTGTTACCCTCATGTTAAAGAAAAAAAGGCTTAAAGAAATTAAGTAATTTTGTCAAGATCAGCGTTAGTAAGCATGGATATAGGGATCTGAACTCAGGCAGCTGGACTCCAGG